CTATCTTGTGTATCATCAAGTTAGATCTTCTTGGTTAAATTTATTATAAGAAGCCATCTTGTTGTTTTTGATAGGTTGGCGCAGATGATAGGGGAGTTCTGGATCAGATTATTGATTCTTTAACTTCTATTGCTAACCCTAGTGAAAATCATGGAATCATGAGTCAAGAAATGAATAAGATTTCCCTGAAGGTTGGTAAGCTCCAGGAGATGGGGGTCAAGAAGGAGTTTGACACAAAAAGGAGGACATCAGTTCTTATTCTTGGTGCAGGCCGGGTCTGTCAACCAGCTGCCGAACTGTTAGCATCAATTGGAAGCAGTTCATCCCGCCAATGGTATAAAACATGCCTCGAAACTGATTCTGAAGAGCAGAACGATATCCATGTTATTGTTGCATCTCTCTACCTTAAGGATGCAGAGGAGGTACACTTGAGAAATTCCATTTTTTCTTTTTTAAACTTTTGCTTCATCACACTTTCTAAGAACAGATTACTTCATTTAGGACAGATGTTTCATTCCTTTGAATTTGAAGTTATGTTCTGATAATGACGGATCTGATGCCAGATAATTCAAGGTATTCCTAATGCAACAGCAGTTGAACTTGATGTAACAGATCATGGATCTCTTTGTGAGTATATTTCACAGGTAAAGTCTTTAAAGTATATTTTTGGGCAGGTAATCTGGTGAGATGTAATAGCTGCTTACAGTAATGCTTCAAGAACCAATTTGCAATTGCCCTGATATCAGTATATGATTTTCTGCGCTAAAGACGTAGGTAAAACTGAAATTGCTTTACAATATGACTACAAAAAGTTTCAGTTCTCTTGGCATAACCTGCAACTCGCTATACCTGAAAGCATGATGCTTGTTTACATGGAAACTTAAAATCATTGATTTGTAGTGTCTTGTTGTTTCTTTGATAGGTAAGTGCTTCGCTAGTAAGTGTGCTCATTGCTTCAGGGCCTTCATCATGGTCTTACATTACCATAATTTTTCTGTGCCATGAACAGGTTGAGGTCGTTGTAAGTTTGTTGCCTGCTAGTTGCCACGTTGTTGTAGCAAATGTGTGCATTCAGGTATGTACACTGTCCCAAAAGAAATGCAGTATCATACTGACACTTGTGTCAATACTTTAAATTAATGTGACATAGGAGAAACACATTTTTAATTATAAAATCTATGAGATCGAACTAAACTCAAAGACAGAAGAAGAACAAAAATTGAAGATTCAACTAATTTTGAAGAAATTATGAGAATTTCCTTGTATGGAAACTGAAAAGAATAAACAAAGTGACTAAGCACTGTGAGTAAAAAGTGGGGTGTGGAGGAGAGAATTCAATTCAAAAACAAGGAAGAAGAAGTTTTCAGAGAAAGTCGGATGAGTGAAGATTGTATTTGCTTAAATGTTAAGGAGATGTATCTCGAAAAGTGATGTTAAACTTCCAATACGTCAGAATAAGAAAGAAAGCAGAAGATAAAATTTATATCTTGCAACTGATTAAGAGGAAATTTTTACCATTTCATAAAAATTCAAAAGAATCAAGAAATAACCTGATGTTGATTTTTGTGGAGACTACTCTTGCAGTGAATACTTGAAGTCTGATGTTTAATCCATGATTAATTAATTACTAAATGTGGTTTCTTCTTTGGTCACCATAGCTAAGAATATCATAACATCTCTTAATGCAGCTTAAAAAACATCTTGTCACAGCAAGTTATGTGGACAATTCCATGTCAATGCTGGATGAAAAGGCCAAGAGTGCTGGTATTACAATTCTTGGTGAAATGGGCTTGGACCCTGGAATAGGTAATCTTCAATCTATCCATGCAATGTTACTTGGACTGTTAGTTTTGCTTTATAATGCACTGCATTTCTATAAAACTAATGTTGTTTCCTTCCCTGATAAAACATTAGACATGTAACGGGAAAAGAAAAATACATCTCCAGGTCATTTCTATTTTCTGCTTCGTCTTGTATTTTGATTTAGATGATGATGGTCTTAAAGTTAACGAACTACTGCTTGTAAGAAGATTGCCATCTTTTTAGTTAATACTTTATAATTTCTTTCTCCGTTTTGGTTCTTCTTGTACCCCTATTTTCTTTTGTATCACAAAATCTAAATATAGAATTGCATTGCTGTGAACCATCTAATCAATTAAATTATCATGCTGCATTGGTTTTCAGATCACATGATGGCAATGAAGATGATCAACCAAGCACATGTCAGAAAGGGCAAAATAAAGTCTTTCACTTCATATTGTGGAGGGCTCCCATCACCAGCAGCTGCAAATAATCCTTTAGCATATAAATTCAGGTATATTTGCAGCCAAAACCACCTATGAATTTTTAGAACCTATTCTTATCTTTATATTTATTTTCTAATGCTCAAGTGGAACTGTGTTAAAATATGCTGTTAAAAGTCTATTTTAAAATGCAATGGTCAGTTTCCATATCTGTTCTCGAATCTTGTGCTGTTATTCCTTAATTTTTAGCCAAAGCACACATTTTTCCGTACCTTTTCAGTTTGGTTTTGGGGTTAGAAAGCCCAATATTATTTCCCATTACTCGAACAAATGGATGGAAATCACTGGAGTTTCCTGTTTAACACTATAGTTATAACTTGCAAACACTATAGAGTTTCCTGTTTGGTCCTATGGCAGTTACAGACTGCGTTGTCATTTTTTCAGTTGGAATCCAGCAGGAGCTATTCGAACTGGGTGGAATCCTGCCACATACAAATCTCAGGGTGAAACTGTACATGTAAATGGTAAGCTGTCAGCAACCAGATATGAAAAAAATTATCATTTATTTGTGATAGCTGTCAGTTGGGCTATGCCCAACCATGTCAAAGAAAAAAGAGTTATAAATCCAAGTCAACTTGTTTCACATTTTCATATCCATAAAGCTTCCTTTTATGCTATAGTACATGAATATAGCTCTACCTTTATTAGAATTAGATGTATAAGATTAGTTAATGACTCATATATATCAGTGTCATGTAATATTGATTTGTTATGGCTTCAACCTTTTCTTTTGTTTAACTTTTTCTCAAATAATATTGGAAGTGTCTTTTCTTAAAGGTTTTCACTCACGGATTTATGTGCATTATTTCACTGAATCAATCATTTTTTTCAGGGGATGACCTCTACGATTCAGCTGTAAGATTCCGGGTACCTGAGCTTCCAGCTTTTGCATTGGAGTGTCTTCCTAATCGTAACTCATTAACTTATGGGGAGGTGTATGGAATAAGACATGAAGCGTCAACCATATTCCGTGGAACTCTCCGCTATGAAGGCATGGCATGCTCGTCCCTCTTGAATTTTGCAACTCTTAATCTGTTTAAACTTTAATGCTAGAAACTTGTCTACAAAGAGCAAAGAGGGTGAATTATCAGTTGGATTTTTAGCAATGACCAAAATATCATAAAATGTTTTTGCTTCGGAAGTGGTTGTTATGTGTTTATGATGATTCGGTTATTTGAAGTTGGTGATTATATGGTTTTGGAACTTATAGCTTAATATGTTTATATCTTTTACAGGTTTTAGTGAGATAATGGCCACACTTGCGAGAATCGGTCTATTCGATGACGAAGCTCATCCACTGCTTGAACATGAAAGTCGAACCACATTTAGAACTTTCCTGTGTAAACTTCTAAAAATTGATACTGAGGCTATGGATGAAGCTCTAATCGGGGAGAAGGAGATAACCGAAAGGATTGTAAAACTTGGACATTGCAAGGAGCGAGGAGCTGCAGTAAAGGCTGCCAAAACTATTATGTAAGCCTATTTTAACATCTCAAAGCGAAAGGTAATGTATGAGTTTAGTAATCGAAAATGGCGAATGATCTCTCTCATCTGTTTCAGGTTTTTGGGACTACACGAGCAGACAGAAATTCCTGTTTCCTGCCAAAATGCGTTTGCTGTAACCTGTCACCGCATGGAAGAAAGGCTAGCATATTCTAGCACAGAACAGGTATATTACTCAACAATGACAAACATATTTGATCAGGAAAGTTGCATTAATTTTCACAAGTTGTGGGTTTTAATCCTCAGGATATGGTTTTGTTGCATCATGAAGTGGAGATAGATTTCCCAGATAGCCAACATACAGAGCATCATATCGCGACTTTACTGGAATTTGGGAAGGCTAAGAATGGGAAAATGATTTCTGCTATGGCTCTTACTGTCGGAGTTCCTGTCGCAATTGGAGCTCTGGTACTTTTGACATATATCTCTTCTTCTACACCTAATCCCTCATGATTGAGAATTTAATTTTTGTTATTTTCATGGTTTCAGCTTTTACTGGTAAACAAGATCACAACACGAGGTGTGTTAAGGCCTATTGAACCTGAAGTATATGTACCAGGTAAGTTTCAGCATTCACTTATAATGGAGTATATGTTAGCTAAATGCAAATAGTTTCTTGCTTTGGTCCATTACTTAAGAGCTTGAGATATTAACCATCATTATTGGTTGGGGCCTTGTGGCAGCTTTGGATATTCTTCAAGCCTATGGTATCAAATTGATGGAGAAAACCGAGTGACCATTTCTCTGAGACATCCTTGATATGTTCTTGTGAAGTGTGGACAAATGATGGTTTTAAACCATAAATTTCAGATCAGAAGATGATGATCAGTTTAAGTGGGTATTGGACGGATTATGCCTTTGAGGTTGCTTTGCCAAACCACAAGAGGACTGGATAATACCAATCTTCGCAACCAAAGGGCTTTGTGATTATGCTAAAACATTCTTATATATAGAATGTGTTTATCTTTTTTCGATTTTATTATCCAATAAAGAAAAAATGCCCCTATTTGCTCCTATATCAGCATGGTTATACTACACTAGATTCAACGTGGGTAAAAGTGAAAAAAAAAAAAAAAGAATTTATGTGATGAGCGGGTACCGATGTACTGGGTTGTTCTTTAAAACATGTGTTAAAAAATTGCCATATAAATAAAAAATATTTTTGATTTTATATTTTTGTTATTATTTTTTATAGTTTTTTAAGACAATTGTAAAACACCTTTCTTAAAATTGGATTTTGGAATTGGAACCAAATATGCAACTCAATAACTAGCAACTTATGCTAAGTTGGATCTACCCATTGTTTCCCTAACTCAAACTGGTCAAAGCATTGCCAAAATGAAACTGCTGTTTCTTGAGTGCAATAACAACCGAAGTAACCTCCAAAGTCCTGAACATCTAATTACATCGATGTTCCCACCATTTGGGAACTGCTTTTTCCTGCATCTTGCAATTAACAATGAAAGAAATGCATTAATTTTCACCAACGTTCCTTCCAGTTTTGTCCTCAAAGTCAATAAATACACCAAGTCCCCAATTTGGCTGGTCTCCTTATGGTTGATTCACCCAGAACAATAATAAGCCCCAATTTTTTGGCAACATCAAATGTTCATGGTTTGAGAAACAATTCAAAGTACTATGAAATGGGATGTGGGAGTCTATACAGGGTCCATCTTAAAGGACACTAGAACTAAGAATCCAAGACGCTATTTGTCGCTCTGCTTCTTCCCAGTTATGTACTTTAGTCACCAAAGGATGTTGACTGATTGACTCTGTCTTACACCAAGGATACGAGTTCTCATAATCAAAAAGCAGAACTCTGATTCCAACTTGAGCACACTCAGCAGCATATCTTGGGTTATCATCAATTAGAATCTTGGCTCCTAACAGCCTGCAAGAAAAACAACTCATCAAGAAAAACTTGTCCGCAATAAGTTTCTCGAGGAATTAATAAAATTTTCTGTGCCATGAACAGGTTGAGGTCGTTGTGCGTTTGTTGCCCCACGTTGTTGTAGCAAATGTGTGCATCATCTACTCTTGTATCATAAATAAAGAATCAATTGCACTTGTGATGATTAAAAAGGGATTAACGGATGAAAAAGAAAGATGAATATTAAAAGCATCCAGAAGCAATGTTAAGGACTAAGGCTTATGGGCATACCGACATATTTCTGACTTAGGTTTAGACTTGCCATCAAGAGCAAAATGGTTGCCAAAGTGAATATCCTGGAACAGTCCAGGATAGTGCTTCTCCAACCACTCAATGGTATGGTCCTTAATCACATGCTGCCGAGACCTACTCATAAAGTATATGAATGACCTACTTAGTGCACAGGCCAGAAGCAAAGGCATTATAAAGGAAGAATAGTAAGAATACGTACGTTACAACTGATAGGTTACAAAATCCTGATAACTTATGAAGAACCCTCTGAGCACCTGGGATGGGGTGGATACCTTCCTTGAAATATGGTGTCTTGAAGAACTCATGGACACGGATATTAGCTGTCAAAACAAAAACAGGGTATGTTCTGATGTAATTCTTAGCCAAAACAAACTCCAAATAATTGAACCTTTCTCAGAAAGGATAACAAAACATTCAGCACTCTAGTAAACAATGATAGCATTTGCAAAATGTAGAACCACCAGCAAGTATTGCACTAAATTTACAATCGATACATATTCAACTTAAATCTGATATATTTTCCATTTTCCAATGACAAAAAATTCCTTAAAACCACTTTCTATTACGAATCCACTTTGTCTATTTGTTTGAAGTTGGAATATAAAAGAACAAACCCACAAAAGACCCCACCTAGGTCGATAACTTTTATACAGTCATTGAAAGCAAAAGAACCTTCACCTTTCATCCAAAACAAACAGCCAAATTTCAGTGCACTTTACTCAAAGAATTTGATGAATTATTAATACAGCAGTAGCAACATATTACTGAAAAGTATTTGTCACATTAATTTAACAAATTATCTAATAAGGAATCATTCAGGATGTCTAGTGATACCTTCATCACGAGAACAGTTCCATATCTGTAACAAAATAAAGATGCATTAGAATCCATATCGAAGAAACATAACCAACTTCCGAACAACAGCTGACTACCAAAAGCAGAAAATTTTACGAACAACACAAGTAAAACTACAAAAGAGGAAAGATCCAAACCACAGAGTAAACATCAAGTACATTAGTGCAATTTGAACATCAAGGTAAATCCATCTGCATTATTAACCAGAATGACACACAACTTGTAACGCAAATCACTAGCAGAAATCACATAGAAACTATACACATGCAAAAATGATACAATAGACTGGACTCTAAAGCGAACCCCCCAAAACCCAAATCAGTAGTTAACAACAATCATATCAAAGATCTGCATGGCACAAGAATGAGCCTTTCACTCACTCAGTTTTTCCTAGATGCTCTAAAACACCTTTGTTTTTTTCCTTCCCGCGACCTTGCCAGCCTTCCTTGCTCAGGGAAGAACCAGTTTTTCTTTCTTCCTTCTTTCGGTCTTCACTTTCTCGTAAAATTAGCTCTAATCCTCTTTTAAGTCCACTTAATAAAATTCAACGCTAATTGACTTATACCACAAAAAAAAATTACTAACTATACTTGTTGACTTCTTTGTACTTCTCTTCGCAACCAAACAAGAATTAAAAATTCATGAAGAAAAAGCCTTGCCTTGAAAAACTCGTAAACATGGTACTCTGAAACTGAATGGTTCAACGAATAGCGATCCGCTATAAATCTGTTCAAAGCCGACACAAAGTTCCCTAGCACTGCTTATACCAGAAAACAAGGAAAATTAGTAATTTTGCATTAAAAAATACTTAAATTTTCCCACAAAAAAGAGAAGAATTAGAATATTTTGTACCTTCGTCGACATCGACAGCAACCGCAATTTTTTCAGGTAAAGGCTTGTCGATTAAGTCAAGAGGGTTCCCTCTTTGACAAGCGCCACGAGTTTCAGTCGCCGTCTTCGCCATTTTCTGGGGTTCATTATGGCTAATGATTTCTATATCACGCGCCAATTGGGGAGCAAAGGCGCGTGCTTTCTGACACAAGGCTATTCGCGAATCCTGGAAACAATTTTTAAGAGTCAAATTTAAGCCAACGGCCGGTTTGTTAAACTTAAAACCGCCACCGCCGCCGCTGACATTGTAATTTTCTCGAGATTCAAGTTTGCCGAGGAACTGGGAGCAACGGCGTTGGTCCTTGGGCAACGTGTAGAGCTGTCCTAAAACCCCCATGAAACGATATTTTCCGTTATGGTTACAATTAGAGATTTGATTAACGAAGAACCAAAACTGCTGCTTTGCTTATCTAACATATCCAAGCTTTTCACATTCCAACTTTCCCCCACAAAATGGAGCGAAATATTATGATTTTGCGGCAGAAAAAAAGAAAACAACTAGAATTTTGGTTAAACAAATCCATTAGTCAATAAAAAAGTAAAGGCCAAAAAAAAATAGATAACCCTAAAAAAGTAGTAGAATTTTGATTTGGGGGGAATGGGAGAGAGAGAGAGAGACGGAAGAAAATACTAAAGGAGGGTTGCGCGGCAAACCCACTTGCAATAAACGAATAAAGAGAGAATACAATTATAGGATATTTATGGTTTAACTGGCTTAGAATTTGAAGGATATCTAGAAATTTGGAAGAGAATCTAATGAAGGGTTTTATTTTGGCCCCCTTTTTTAAAGCATGTTCTAATCATGGAAATTGTAATTGCATGAATGAAAGTGCAAAAAGTTCACAACGAGGTGCAGCCGAGATGCTGATAGGCGATTGGCATTGGGCAACTGGCACGCCGCTCAACCGTATTTTTAAAGAGAAACCCAATGCCAATTGCCCCAATTGGGTTTGTATATTATTATCTTCTTCTTCTTGAATATTTTGGTTTACATGTTGCGCATTGCTTCTTTGAGGCCAACTTTGGACTCTTACCGTTATGGGCTATTCACAAACCAAAATTTTCTTTTGATGGATCCAAATTATAAAACTAGTTTGAGACGAAGGAAGCTCCATAGAATTAGGGAACAGTTTGAGATTTGGAAGACTCAATTCAAATTAATTAAATTCAACCATAAATTTATAGAATCAATGGTTACACTTCAATGTGAAAAGAGTTAAAATGATCAATGGGGTCTAGGAAAATTTTAACCTCAGCAAACAAAAGAAATGAAAGTGAATAAGGGATAATTGCCTGGTTGACTTCAGCAAAGGTAATGACGAAGACAATCAAAGAACAGTACCACAAATAACTAAAGCCAATACCAGCATCAGAGCCGTAAGAAGGCTTTTTGTTCTTGCAGCCGAAGACTTGTTAGAGGAGGGAGCCAGTTCATGTTTTCCAATGTCGATCATGATCTCGAAACGACAAGGTGGTCGAGATGGATCTATGGTGGTAATGACAGATAAGTTACTAAAAAAACATGAATCTTTCCTTTGATTCATGGTCTGATAGTACATATTAAACGCATAAGAAGCGTTGCTTTGGGCATCCAGATTACCACATGAGGATCCATAGCCAAGACTTGTACAATCAGAGTATTGGCAAGCGTAGCTAATGCTTTGTGCCAAATTGGGGTCTGAAATGGTTGCCGAAGGCGCCATTACACACCATTGCCTGGCCAAATATTTGACACCTTTGGCTGGGACGAGAGCTCTTCCATTCCCCATATCCAATGGATATTTGATGCTGCCATCGTAATTGAAGATACCCCAATGCCTCTCAAAGTTTCCAGGGTCAATGCTCTTGTTGTCTTCATCAATGAGTGAAAATAAGTAAACGTCAGGCGGTGTTTTGCGTCTTGGGCTGCCTACGCCTTGAATTATACGGTTGAGAAGGGCTTGGTTGAACCTGCGGGCGTTGTCTACGTTGGCATTGGGGTCACCATCAGTTGGCCAGCCAACTTCTCCAATGATGATAGGCATTTGTCCAAAGCCATTCTTTTCAAGAGCTGAAATAAGGGTGTCAAAGTTGGCATCATAAACATTGGTGTAAATGATGGAACCGTCCACAAGGGGGCTGCCAGTGTTATTAAAGAAGGCATATTCTTTAGGGAAATTGGGATCAGCTTGGAGACTAAGAAAAGGGTAGATGTTGATGGTGAGATAGCCACCATTGTCTTGAAGGAATTTGATAATGTTAACCATTAGGTCGAGGATCTCCGGTCGAAAATTACCACCAGATGGTAGGCCACTGTCAGTCTGGTAGACATCTGCGTTAAGTGGTATGGTTACCTTCACCTGTTTGCCTAGGCCAGCTTTGATAATAGCTGCTTGAATGTTTTGAAGGGCTGGAAATGTTGTCTTGACAAACATATCTTTGTAGGTATGAAGGAAAGGTTCATTGCCTACGGCTACATGCCTGGGAATAATCACATATACCATAACGAATTCAGCTTCTAAGTATATGTAATATGTCAACAAAAGCAAATAGTATATTGTCCTTTTATAGTGAAAAAATATGTTGGAGAAAATCATGATTTTCAACTATATTGTATTATCTATTGATAATTACATGTCGCAGATTGAGATTTATTTTGCAAACCTGATAAAACAGCATAGGTTTCAATAGACTTTGTTTTCCTCGTAAATCAACAGCTCGATTACTCATAAAAGCTTTCGGACAATTAGTATGGAACCTTTTTGACAGCAAAGTTTAGCACAAACATTGGAAAGATGAGAGTTCATGTACCTTATATCAGTTCCATAGGTGGATATGTAGCGGGAAACATTTTGTTGCACCCATGACTCGGCATTTCTGACACTACTTGCAAGCGATGCCAACATGTCATTTGGTATTCCAACCATAACCTGGATACCAGATCTACCAAGAGCTTTGAGTGCTCCAGGATCAGCTTCAAACAGCTTCACTTTGTTGAAGCCATTGTCTTTCAGGAGCTTTACCACTATGTTAGGTGGCAGCGGGTGTGTTGATTGCAGCCCCCAGTTGCAAGCCAGGCCTAAGACACCCTTAGCCAAGCCTTCATATCCAAGCAGGCAAAGAAAGAAGAACCATAACAAACGGAATTGACCCATTTTTTGGAAACCAGAATCTCTGATTTTGGAGGTCTGCTTTTATGTGCTTGTATATAGATGTAGCAATCTGAATTTTAAAGCCATATAAGGTGAAGCAAATGTGCTTTTACGAAAGGGAAAAGAAAGGGAAAGAATTACACAAAGAGTCAACAAGGAACTGGATTCCAAGGAAACACCCAAGTTTGAATCATCAATTAAAAACCTTATTTTAAGGCCAGAAAGAATATAAATGTAAATCAAGAAAGGTATAGAGTAAACAAAACATATATGTTGGAGACCATTACGTTAGTTATTCATCTTGAGCCAAACAGCAAAACCAACGTGGAAGGAATGTCTTCATACTTTCCAACTAGGATGTTTGTCTGGTCTTAAAAGTGTCTTTCTTATCCTTCACTTTGTGACATTCAGCCTTTTGGTAACAACTGATTTAATACTATTTGTTCCTTTGTTATTTGTTTCGGGAAGATTTCTCTATAAAATTCATGATTAATATGGTCACTTCATATTCAATTTATCCTTCTTTGACCATTTAGATACAATTGCCAATGCAAAAACCTGGCCCACAGGCCAGAGACCACTCTTGTTTGGACCTTAAGCTTCTCTGACATTGGTCTCAGGCATGAAAGGAATCTAGGCTTTGTTTTGGGCTCAAATTGAATCCATTTGTATACATTTTTTTTTTCAAAATGAAAAAAGGTTAGATACGATTTCTTTTATAAATTCACAAATAATCCCTTATGACTGACTTCTTTTAAAATAAAAAATAAAAAGAAAACTTCATGAGAAAAATTAAAAATAAATCACCCCAAAATCTATCTGACAACTCATGCTATGATGCAGGCAACATCAGTCTTTTATGTTTAGAAACGACATCGTTTGAGAACTAAAAGGTCAATGGAAGAAGAAAAAACAAAACCATGAAAACAACTGAAAAGGCGAAAGGGCATGTGAGCATTGTCGGTGAATGATGACCCATTTGCATATGATAGTTCCACATTTGCATCAACTATTGAACTGGGGTCACTTTCTTCCTACTGTTAGCATTTCTCGACTCGTTAAATCCCACCCCAATGCGCACTTTTCTCCTTGTAGTTTGTCCTTTTCTTTCATTCTTCCACTTGAAAATAATTCCTTGCTGATTCTTTTCTCTTTTTTTTATCTTAAAAGGGTAGCCTTTATTTGTGGAGTTGAGTTGTTAGATTCTTCTGTGTCAGCAGTGCAAGAATAAGAAATGGATTCAATGATGGTGAACTTCAACTAAAATTACTTGCTTTGCTTGCATCTGGGCGTTCATTAGATTTTTTTTTTTTTTTTGGAGTGATGCTTTGTCTAAAGGCAGAAGCTTTGGATGAAGACCAGCATCCTCAAAGTCCTAATGATAACAGCACCAATGGGAATGGAAATTGCACTGGTGGTAATAATGGGGGTTTTATTTTGCCAATCAACTGGTGGGTCATTTTCCTCTTCTTCCTTCTTTTTCACTTGCTGCTTATGCATCTCTTTCTGTGATGGTAAATGTGGTATGGTGGACGCCTGGATGGTTTTGCAGGGCAAGCTCTATTAATAGATATTTACACTGGAAAAGTGGCAAGGTTTGGAGCAGGTCATTTTCAGCTGGGGATGACCCTTTTAACTCCTGTTCTGAGTTGGAGGTAATTTGCAAAGCTAATTCTCTGCTCCCAATTTTATGGTTATCAGGTTATGTAATTTTCAGAATGCAAATTATTGTCTGAGGAGTTGTTACCTTTACTATGCAAGCAAGGAGTTATTATGGTGTCTGTATTTAGACTTGTTAAAGATTTTTAGATTCTGAAATCATGTTGTTACCAGGATACTAAGCCCCAGGAAAGCATTGGGCGAGAGAAAAGTGAGCAGATGTGTCATTATAAATACCAGCTTGAACAAGAAGTAAGAGGATTCTATATGTCTCTGCATACTCCCCTTTATTTTGCAAGTGATGCAATTGGTTTCTTTCATTAGATTTCGTTTTCCCTTCTTCTGTTTCTCATCTAAAAAAAGTTGTTGGAGATTGCATGTTAAATTTTTTATTAAGGTCATGTGGCTTTTTAGTTGTTCAAAGTCAATGCCATGTGGTTCTTTGTTACATTAAAACTCCAGTCACTGTTGAAAATTTCATTTTCTTTTACGTTTATGATTTCTTGAGCTTGTACAAGTCTGGAAAGTTCTAAAGAAGTGTAATAGGCAAGGTAATTAAATTTATGAACAGCAAATTATTGTAACATGAGATTAGGGATAGGTGATGATTAGTGAATTCTAGACCATTTTCATTGGCTCTCTGTTTTACTAAAACCTAAGGCAAGATGATTGTGCCTTAAGCCACTGAACTTTTATTTTTTTGGTCTACATCACTGCACTCTTCGTCTATATAAATCTTAAGCTTATTGAAGGTTGATTCAGATTTATTCTGCAAGGAAGTGAAGAAGCATTAGGATTGCAGTATACTTGAGTGAGTGGGAGAAAAAGGAAACATGATTAACATTGATGTGATTAGAGAGAGCTTTGTTACTAAGACAATGCAGTTTAATTTTAGAGAGAGAGTAACACTTTTGCTAATGAATGATTATTGAAGTGCCATCATATTCAAGTTTTGAATTTTTTTTCTTAGAGGGCCGGTAACAGCCAACTCTGTGCAGGATTGATATCTCATGCTCATGCAACATGCTACCACTTGGATAATACAGGTTAAAAAGTTGCAGCAGCAATTGCAGGAAGAGACTGATTTGCACTTGGCTCTAGCAAGTGCTGTTGAACACTCTGGTTCACCTTCTTCTAATTCTCCAGGCAAGCTTCCAGATAAGGTCAGCCTTCCTGTGCGTGGTTTCTCTTCTATTTTATGTTCTTTTCTCAATCTCCTAAATTTGGATTTCAGGCCCAGGAGCTTTTAGATAGCGTAGCTGTTCTGGAGATTACAGTATCAAAGCTTGAGCAGGAATTTGTTTCTTTACAATATCAGCTTAGTCAGGAGAGAAATGAGCGACGTCTTGCTGAGTACCGTTTAAACCATTTTCCATATCCCACAACATCACTTTTCGATCGCACTTTGGCTTACTTAACAGAACCAGTACTGTCATCTATATCTTTAAAGTGTTATTCTGGTGATCCTGTGGCTTTTAAATAATAATAGTTGATTATCATATGGAGTTTGCACATTGGTTTTTCTATGCTAAAATACATCTGCTGTACATTCCTCTAGCCATTTGTTTCTCTTATTCTGAAGAAGTAAAGTGAAAGCTGATTAACAGTCTATTTTATGTTTCAGATTGCAAGGCCTTGCAATGAAGAGGAAGCAGAAGAAAACATGGATGATATATCGCCATCAGAGGCTGCTATTGTTGACGGTTTTATTGTGGAGAACCTTTGGCATCATCCCAATCAGCTATCTGAAGAAATGGTCCTGCGTATGAGAGATATTTTCATCTTCTTGGCATATTCATCCAAGCTTTCTTCAGAGTATTTGGTGTCACCAGCTTCTCCTCACTGTCCCCTTGCCAAAATTTTGGCATCTTTCTCAGGCTCACCCATTGCAACTTCCTTAGTAAGGAGTCCCTCGGGAGGTGGTGCGAATGATCCATATGGAGTCTCTGGCAAAGATGACTGGACATGTTGTATCGGGATCTACAGCACAGCAGTTGAAGTCTCATGGTTTTCTGTTGGGAACAAAGAACTTGAATATGCTGCTATGGCTCTAAAAAGATTCAGGTCAACTACGTAACCCTTAGTTTTAGACTAGTTTTTATATCCTTGTTTCATTGGCTTCTAACAATCGGTCTAGAGTAGGGAAATGGAATTCATGGAGCTATTTTATCATAAAGCCTTCAGTAAAGGCTTTAGGCAATGAAATTAACCAGTTATTGCTTTTATTGTTCCTTTGTGTTTGCTTACAGATTGCTTGTTGAGCAGTTGAACAGAGTGGATCCATCTCAAATGAGTTACAACGAGAAGCTGGCATTTTGGATTAACCTGTATAATGCTTTGATTATGCATGTAATACACTTCTATTCATTTCCAATCTATGCATTCTCTCTCTCCCCCGCACATAAAAACAATATATAGACACACTCTAAGCTTCGATAAGTTGGGATTCTATCAATAGATGGGGAGTCTTGGCTAGAAGAAGGGCACGCAAGGTCTCAGACCTCATTTTATGACCATCCTCTGCATTTTCATGACGTCTGGATCTATAGATTCTTCTTCTTAGGCCCTAATTGAATTAAATATCTCTGATTTTTTTCACTTTTATCTCTATTTCTCAGGCATATTTAGCATATGGAGTTCCAAGAAATGATATCAAACTATTTTCCTTAATGCAGAAGGTTTGATGCTGTAACTTTTCCTGTTATCCCTCCACACTTCCCCTCTCCTCCCCTCTGTATGCTGCTTTGAACAAATGCTAACAGCACAGCATGATGACATGCAGGCTGCATACACTGTTGGAGGACTCTCAGTGAGTGCAGCTGACATAGAATGCACTGTTCTAAAAATGAACCCTGCTACTTATCGACCACAAATTGTACGTATAATCACTCCATTATGTGCAGTTACTAGCCCCTTGTAATAGAATTTTTGATGATGCAATTGTAGCTAATCCTTATCCAAAATTCGACTGGACATGCACCATGCAATGGGATATTATTATGCAAAGAGAGAGAGAGAAAGAGAGGATTGCAAATACCAGTACATAAAATTTCTGGCATCTGTGGAAGGATGATAAGTTAGCTTCATAAACGATGCGCCATAATAACTTTCGGGGGGTTATTTCATCAAATTTTTAAGTTTTTCGAGATTAGTCCTACTTATTGTTTCTTTTCTCCAAAAAGGAAATCCATTTTTTCCAATGCCCCATTTCCTTTTTGTGGGGGTATTTTCTTCTCTTTTCTGTATTGGTTTCTTACTTGAAAGCATTCTATGACGTAACTTCCGATTATAATCATTGTTAGGCTGCGGTTCTTGCACTTCAGAAATTCAAGGCTTCTGACGAGCAGCAGAAGTATATAATTGATCATCCTGAGCCTCTTCTATATTTTGCCTTAAGTAGTGGGTTGCATTCGTCGCCCGCTGTAAGATCTCATTCGCTTCTCATTCCCCCTTCTAGTCTTTTGAGTGTCTCTTCACTATAAAAGCATTGAACTCCACAAATTTTGTTGAAAATTCAGTAATAACTGATTAAGTACTAATGAAATTTCCAATTGATATGATTGACTTCTTGTTTTACTGAGTTTTCCTGTTGTCCTTATTTTGTAATCAGGTGAGGATTTTCAGGCCTGAAAATGTGAATGAGTTGCTAAAAAGGTCAATGAAAGATTACATCCAGGCATCTGTTGGTATTAATAACAAAGGGAAAGTATTGGTGCCTAAATTGTTGCATTGTTTTGCCAAAGGAGTTGTGGAAGACTCACTTCTACCCGATTGGATTTGTCAGTTCTTATCGCCACAGCAAGCTTCCATGGTCAGAGACTGTATATCACGTAATAAGTGGAGGCTTCTTGGTGCTCGAAGCTTCTCTGTCTTACCTTTCGATTCAAGGTTTCGCTTTCTCTTCCTATTGGATGATCGGAACTCCCTTTCCTCTGCATGATAAGACCAGCCACCCTTCAAAAGTTTTGGGTGACAAATTGTAAAAACTCGTGCTTTAACTACCAGAGCAGGCAGTTCTTCAACACAACAGCTGTATCCATATTAACTTCTGCGTGTTATGTGTAAATTGCTTGGTCCTAGTAGAATTAGCAGCAAGTCATACAATCAGGGAAGGAATATAACAAAGGATAGAGTGCATGGAGTAAAACAGAAAACGTGTGAAAATAAAATATATTTCTCCTTGTAACACTAAATTTTTGATGCAAAGATGGTTTTCTATTTGCATATCTGATATAAAGAATCATTTCTGAAACAACTACCTACCTATATTAATTCTATGCTACCCAGAAGAAGAATGGAATATCACGGGAAAATGTAATGTCAATTTTCAACCATCCATTTTTCTCTCACTCAGATCACATTAAAACATGGCTATGGAATGTGCAGCAAAAGCAGCTCAACAAAATAGCCGTTCTAACTCTCAAGGTATGAGAGCTTTCAACTGTTACTGAAAAGATCAACGGGTGCTCCACGAACATCCTTCTGAATAAATAAAGTTGCGATTGGTTATCAACAAATTTAAAGAATGAGATGTCAATGTGTGGGTTATCTACTTCAGAAGCATCGACCAACTTATTCCACATGAAGAAAAAAAAAATCGAAAATGGCCTAATATCAGCGCTCTCACCAAATGGAGCACTACACGTCAAGAAAATAATCATACTTCAAGACTCTCAGAATCGCAACAAAGGCACAGAAAATATCCCACTAGCATACTGCCACAAAAAAAAAAAAAAGGAATATATAAAGCCATAATCAGAGACAAATTCTCATAGGAGATTCTTCTAAAACAGGATAAAGAAAACATATCATGCAGACACAAGATAACCTGAAATATGACAGGGGACTGAAACTGAAGCCCGCCACAAAGCATATGAGAGATACGCTTTCATTGAATCAATGAAATGGAAGTTCTTTGTAAACTTCCAACAAACCCTGCAATACCATAGGCCAGCAAATATGATGAATGACATTAGCTATCTTTTCTTTATTGCTCTCAAAATTAACAAATTTTGGCATTTTAAAACAATCTATCCACCTATTCAAGGATTACAACAATATTTCAATGCTAATAACAAGCATGAGAATAGCAAATATATCCTCTTAACAGAGAAAAACAAAATGAAGCATATAAAAAATATGACCCCACATAGTTGGGAAAGCGTTTTATTCTATTATGCAAAGACTACAAACCAAACATTCTCAAAAGCATAAAATAAATTCATAAAATTGATCTACAAAAAAGCTCAAGAGACAGAATCCTTGTCTTGGTTGTGACCCCATCAGCATATTCCTTCAAACTTTAAAGCGTTTTATTCTATTATGCAAAGACTACAAACGAAACATTCTTCAAAGCATAAAATAAATTCATAAAATTGACCTGCAGAAGCTCAAGAGACAGAATCCTTGTATTGGTTGTGACCTCATCAGCATCTTCCTTCATACCCATCTGCAAGACAATATTTCATGAAGGGAATGCCAAGAGAGACTTCAAAATGCCAAGAATAATTGGTGTCGGAATAAGAAGTAGACCAACCTTGCAAAGGGTGCGGAACACTAGTAATGCATCACGTTTACCAATACTCATGCTCTCAAGGCCAACCCCTCTACGATAAGTTTCAAGTGTCATGATAGCAAGAAAACAGAAACTAGCAATCTGGGTAAAATATTTTAGTCCATACCTTGTAATCTTTTTACCATCCTCAACATGTCCTACTTTGTCAAGAGCAGCCTCTAAACCCTATGAAACACATAATTATAAGAACCATAAAAAACCAAAAAAAAAAAAAAATCAATAAACAAACGCCTAGCACATGCTACAAAACCTGAGGCCGGCAAGTCAAAGTAAATAAAAACAAAAAACAGTAAATAAAAGAATGAACCTTAATATCAGCACCACCAGCAAGGTTTTGAAGTTCCTCAACAGATGCAACTGTGGTATCCTTGACCAGGATCTCCCTGGAGATGATCATAAGCAATTGGTGTTGCGCTTATGGAATTAAAACAGATCATGTCAGTAATCAATATGTAGAAAACGAAGGCATTTAACTTCCAAAAATCAAATTGAACAAAAATAGGGAGGTTCTTTTGGAATATAAATAGCAAGCTTTCAAATGGATTTGAACTTGCCTTGATGTTTTATATAAGAACCATAGAGAAGACTAATAAGTAGAAAATAAACATTCAAAAATAATAGATCAAGAAAGAAAGCAACTACATACATGAAGACAATCCAAAGCTGGTTCAAGGATTTTTAAGTTCTTTGTCTCAAATGCAAGATGAAGAGAATTTAGAACAAGCTCCTATCCCGCATTTGCTAAGGCAGTTGTGATAGTTCCACTTACACCAGTTATCATGCCAACATGCTCTGCATCCCCAGCACTTTGTGAAACTGTGCTTGGTCCATCATTCTTTGTTCCAGTTTTTTCTACTCGAGTTTCAGTTTCAACGGAACTACAAGTAAAACATAAAACAAAAATTAGAGATCATCTATAATTGTTACGCATCAGTCATCATCACATTAGCACAAATAATATCAATTCCATATCATTTTTAACAAGGCCATTTAGGGTGTTGGCTGAATCTGACAAAGGCTATAGTGACAGGTAAAAACTTCAGCTCTAAACTATATGGAGCCTAAATAATTGTAAACTAATAAACCCAATATATATATATATATATATATATATATATATAAAAGAAAAGCAATTTCGTTGGGTTTATATCTTGGGTAAGAAACTAGGAACAAATCAGATTATAAGATTGTAAACACATATAAACCTTCCATCTCCAGCGGAAGGTGTTTCTTGATTTGGTTCATTGGATGGAGAGTGCTGATACGTTTGTTTTGAACTATCTGAAGAAACCCAATAAAAGTAAATACATGAAAGCTATGACCAAACAGCAACAACTTTAACATGAAATTACAGGAAGAGATAAGTTCACATATTAAAGAAAACCAGTGAAGATGTCACCTACTAAATGCATGGGGAATCGTAAATGGTAGGAAGTGAAGGCCTCACATCCTTACTCTCACACCTCTCCTTTTCTTCTTAATGACATAATTCCTCTATTATCTTTTAAAGAATTAGTCAATCGGCGTATGGTGATGATAGGGAGAGAAGAAAAAGACCAGAACAATCCACTATAACAAGAAAAAAGAACCAGGACCAACTCCAAGAACCATAGTTGAATGCGGGTAAACATGGAAGGCGAAACTCAAATAACTAAACAACCGCTAATGCAGTAGAAAAATCAATAAAGCACAATCCAAACTTCTTAAACTGGTTAATTCTGAATATCAAACTTAGACTTAAAAAACAACATTAAAAAAGAATACAGATTAAAAACAAAGAAATTATAATCAGAAGCACAATTACCAGATAAAGGACGATCAATAAAAATTGCGAGTAGAATTTAGCGTCAGTTTCAAAAGAAACAATAAAAAAACGAAGATCATAGAAGAAGATTCAAAAAAAAAATCTGACCTAAATAAGTTTGAATAGCCTTTTGAAGATGGGGACTTTTTACCGGCACATTCCTTGAGCATCGACTCAAATGCTCGGCTCACGAATCCAGCCGCCAAATTATTCTTCTCTTCCCGACGCTTGAATAAAGATAATTTCATAGTTTTCTTCTCTCTTACCTAAAACGCAAAATTCATCGACCAAAAAGAGAAATTGATAAGAGAGAACTGAGCGAGAAGAAATTGGAGCTTGGAGTGAACAACGAAGAGATATGGAGAGAAAAAACTGGATCTGTTGATTAGAAAATATTTAAACACTGTGTGTTGTCTTGTATCTAACGGGCTTTAGTTACGATTAGCGCTGTCCGGGTTTTGACTGGGTAACGGTTCAACGAATAGATTTTAAAAATCTTTGACCCCTTAAATGTCGCGCTTTTGGTTATAATTTTTTTAAAAATTTTATTCGACTAATTTTACAGATTAAAAATTAACTATGAGCATAATTCAATAAATATTGATTAATTTTATTTTAATTAATTGTTTTTGGCCAAATTTCAACTAATTTTTCAATATATTAATTATTGTCCATGAATTTTAGCTAAAATCAATTGGGTAGAACATGAGTTTTTAACTAGACCTCAAGGTTTTAATCACATTTTTTTTCAACACTTCTAATTTACAAAATCAAATGAAATCAGCTTTATTATGAATCATAGTGTATCTATAATATAAAAGTAAATTGATGTATATCAAATTACATATGATATATTTTGATTTATCTTGTGATGAATTTGATTCAGACTCAATTTAAATTTAATTATTTTTAATTATTTAAAAATATAATTTGTTTATAAAAAAAATCATAAGCATACTCTTTAAATATTTTAAACTTAAATAATATGAAGATTTTAAATTTTTAGTTAATAAATTAAAATAAAAATATAAGAAATTTTTATTTAAAAATATAAAACCATTAATGTTTATGTTAAGTATTTGTAAAACAACCATATTTTATATTTATACCACATAATCACACAATCCTATTAATATGTATAATTTATTTATTTATTTATTTTCCTTCTATATGTGTTATTTATTATTACTTTTAAAATTGTTTAATACATCTTAAGAAACATATTCGATTGTTGAAAATAAAATTTTGATTCATGGTACTAATTCCGATTTAAGAATTATAAAAAAGGGACCATGCAAAAGATTCTTTATTATCTAGCACTTGCCTTCTATATTTCTATACTTTTTCCTATATTTTTTTTTTGTTAATATAGATATATAACAATCAATAATTATTATGTATATATCTAGCAATCAATATACTTTTGGGTTAGTTAGTCTAACATTGAAATTGGTGCATAAAGATTATAAGTTTGAAAAAATTTATGTATATAATATTTTTTTAATAAAATAAATATGAAAATAAAAATTAAATGTTAGACTTGAAATTTTAAAATATATATATATACCTACTAAATTGGTAAAAAAAAAAAAACAGCAATCAATAATTTAATTATATAATATTAGTACAACATGCCATGGTGCCAATTTATACCAAAATTCCAATGTACTATTTTGGTCAGCTATATTATTATACTTTTTTAGTAGGTGATTAGCTGGTTCATCATTGAAATTTGACTAAAGTAGGCACTAGTTATTATAAAAAGAAAAACTTTATATAAAGTGAATTATTCTGTGTGATTTAATAATACCCAAAAACAAAATTATACACTGTTTAGGAAAAATTAGCTAAAAAAATAATGTTACTAATAACCATCACTTAGACTTAAAAATGATCTAATCGAGATATCTACATTTATAATTCAAAAATAACATCTTATATTCGTATCATATAAAATATTAAAATTTATATATTTATATTATATTTTATATAAAAATAGTATATTATAATTTATATTAATATAAAAATATAAAATAAAATTTTTTATTTTATAATTTTATATATAATTTTATTAAAAATTTAAATTATATTATTTTTATATTTTTTATTTATATTATATTCATATCATATTTTAAATTATCAATTTATGCAAATCCATTGCTTTCATGTCACATCCAATGATCATCGTCTGGAATCAATCAAATTACTCTAATTGTTTTTGGGAGATAAAAAAAAAAAAAAGGTTACAGTTACTTAAAACTCAAAGAAAATAGGCTCGTCATGACAATGAGAAGAATACAAAAAGTTTTAAGACGTATATTTACATATACAACTACCCAAGGAACAAAATACCCCAAAGAACCAAATTGACCCTTTTCGCCATGCACAAACTATCAATTGAGTGCTAAATATACAATAATATGTGCCAAGCTCTATCTCCATGATCAATTGAGCAAACAATATGTAAAAAAAAGAGGAAAAAAGACTAAAAAAATAGATAATTATGTGGATCAAGGGAGGAGATCATCCCCAAATAGGTAGAGTAGCCGCTCGACAGCCCAGCTGGGTTCATTCTTAGGCCAGCCCAAGCTTTGCGAAGTGAGTAAAGGGGCCCTGCAAAGGGGGCAAGTCTTGTGATTATCTTCGTCATCATTGTCATGATCATGATCATAATCGTGGTCGTGATCTTGACCATAGTCAACCCATCTGTCAATGCAATCTTTATGGAACAAGTGGCGACAGTTCCTCAGTTCTCTGACCTCGTCACCTTCCTTCAGCTGACTCAAGCAGACTGCACACGTGTCAGAAACCCAAGGCAGCCTTTCCTTAGCATCTTCCAAGGTTGTCAGCGCCAGACTGTCTCTAATCATTTGTGAAGAAACCAAGGAAGAAGAAGAAGAAGAAGAAGAAGAGTTGTGTTGGGAGTCGGATGAAAAAGTAACACAAGTAAAGAAGCTTATGTCTTTAAACCTAACAGCCCAAGACAAAACCCACCTTAAAACTGCTAAAACAACAGCTGTTTTATAGAGAAGATGGGTTACAATTAGCCCTGGATCTTCTACAAAGAAACCCATTGAAACAAAAGAAAGAACAATGAAGGGAAACAGAAAGGCAAAGAGAAAGGAAAGTAATTAGCAAGAGGAGGTAAAGGAGAGGAAAAGAAAGGGGGAGAGTTAGAGGAGCATCTAGGGACTTATATAAAAGGAGGGGACCAAGCCATAGTGGATTTCTTTATAAGATTTTCGTCGGCACTCGGCAGTCGATTATCTCAAGTATCTTTCATTGTTTTTATTTGTTTAAATGGAAATAAGTAGTTAATAAAAAAATTGGAAGGAAAAAGGAGAGTAGAAGTGAACATGCGATGTTGGTTAAAGTTAGATTTAAAGTAAAGCAACTGGATCGGATCATGAGATTGTGGATGTACCGAATGAATCTGGTTTTTGGTTCGTAAGGAAATTGGTAATGGAAAGTCATCAAAAGGTTGTCTAACTACCAAAAACATTGTTGGACATGATCAATTTTTCTTTAAAAGAAAGATAAAGATAAAATTAGTTGTTTTTTTTTTTTTGGAAAATGTTAAATTGTAGTGGGATGAGTTATAAATGGATAATGTGGTAAGTTTTATCTTCTAATTTGAAACACGTTTTCATATTCTGAGACTTTGACCAAAAAGAATTAAAAGAGAGAAAACTTTTCTTCATTTCTGCCGTGATTGAGGTTAAAAAAAAAAAACTTTGGGAAGTTAAACTTAAAGACAATGCAAGACATTAGGCCATACTGGTCCCAGCTTGTAGGATGAAACCTGCTTTCCTGCATGTGCTCCACTGATTGCTGCCGATTCATGTCTGTATTTGATGTGTGGCCCAAAGCATTCCTTTGAAGTCTATGTTCAGTCATGAAAGGCACAGGGGAGGGGAGAAAAAGCAAGGCCAATGAGGCAATGACCCATTTTAATCATCACACACATCATCCATCAAATTATATGAAGAGCAGATTAATTCTAGCATGTTAGGTGGAAAAGAAGGAAAAAAACATCACATATACATGCAAAATCAAAGAAGATTGCTTTGCTTTTTCACCCATGACCATGACACGTTAGAAATGGGCCCCCATCACACGTTAGTTTCCACAATCCAAGTCAGATCCCACCTATTACCAGTTCCTAATATGTTACTTTACGATTTTAACTAGGAAAGGAAATGGCAATGGGGGGAAAATATATATTAAAGAATGAAAAACAAGAAGCAACAAATTGAGAAAAATTCACATCCATGGTTTTGTCTTTCAGGAAAAAGAACCTGGCTTACCTAAAAGCAATCAAAGATCATTTGTTCAGGGAATTCCTATCCGTTCTTCGCAAGCATGACTATTGACTAAAAGCTGGCAAACTTATGATTGAGAAGATTTTGTTGAATGAATGCAAAAATTAAAAAATAAGAGTTTGAAAAACCTTATCCCAAACATTTTGGCCATACACTTTATGCGATTGCCAAATTCAAGAGAAAAGGCTGCTGTTGCATTCTACATGTGCGCCTTTTATTCTAAAGTTGATCATGACCAAATTATAAAGGTGGATGCTGCAACATCTTTCGGCAAACCCCAAAGATAATTTTGATAACAACACATATCCAAATGCCAAGCATACAACGGTCCATCTTATCTATACAAAAAAGGCAGGGTCAATAGCCTATGCACCAGATTAGAATGAAGGGAACTGGTAAGCATTGAAGCAGTTTAAACAAGAAGGAGGGATTTAAGAGTTTCATTGAAAAAGCATGTCTCGAAGTATAACATTTAATGGGTTTCACAAACGAAAAGAAAAGAAAAAAATGTAACACAAACCCAAAGATAAAAACAGGAAAAAAGAAGACTAAAACGGCCTAGTTCATCAACCGACCAAAGGGGCCCATCAAACTCTCTCACACGTTACATGTTACCAGAATAGTAACAGAAAATAACGAGTTTACCATTTTAATAATTTTTATTGCCTCACAACAGCATTCTGATTATTGATAAAAAATAAATGAAAAAACAGCATTTGGTTTTAGCCTCTATGTTGAGCAGCCTGTTTGACGGTTTGTCTACCAGATATAATACATACACGTGCAGCATTATACATATAATTTCTTGCTGAAACTGACATCATGAAGCATTATCTCAATAATTTCTTCTTGAAGTTGACAGGTCGAGCTCATGCATTTCGGGTTACGGAGTAAATTATGCATCTTCCTTCAAATTCTTATCTAGTTGATTTCATGTTGCTCACTTTCTTTCATCTTCATTTTCATCTTGTATTGCAAAGTGGCTGGTGCACAATCCAGTGGTGTTTCTCCTGGAATTGATGTGGTTCGATAGAGTTAAAGCATAATCATAAGACAAACAGATTCATACAAATCAGAGACAGACATGCTACCAACCAAATCAGCAATGAAAAGGATGGGGAGTTCTCAATTATGGAGTTCTAGGAAACAGCATCACTCAACAAAGCTATTCATGAGCATCATACTTCTTTCCAATTGAAGGTGAGATTTCTTTCTTTTTTTTAACACTTCATTTTATCCAGAGCCAAAGGAGTTTCTAACAACATTTTCAACTTTCAGTAACCTTAAAAAACTCTACCATGAGTAGCTTCAATTTGTAGATAGACATAGTTAAAATCAGGAATGCCACAAAACTCAGTATACAATAAATTACCCTGTGCATTCTTGTAGTCCATGCTTGCTCCATAGTCCATGAGCAAAAACACTATGTCCGTTCGATTGAACAGCGCCGCCTACAGCAAGTTAATTCTGTCATTGGTGTCATATGAATTTGGAAAGAAATGGAAACTAAAATTATGCATCAATTGGCCAGCCAGAAGAGCACATATACACAATTTCAGTCTCATTTGCAGAACTACGCACATCACACACAGAGAGAGAGAGAGAGAGAGAGAGTAGTACCAAATGCAGCAACGATAATCCTTGCTTGTCATGGTAGTTTGCATCTACACCCTGCACATGTAATCATACTTAAAAATTCATTCCAATATAACTATTGGAATAAAATCAGAACATACCTCACTTAGAAGCTTTTTGACTGCAGCGGTATCACCATTCTTTATAGCTTCTCTTAGACCCTGAGTAAATGCACAAAGACATAATTCATAAGAAGTAAAATCCCCTGAAAATTTGAATGTCCCATAACTATTCAAATACTTCATTAAAGAGTTCAACCTCTCCATTGACATCATAAGCCATCTGAGATTTATCTACAACAATGCCATCGGTCACCAGACCAGGGTTGAAGGCCAAACTGCAAAATATTAACCATGTGTAAAAGAGTCCCATAAAAAAGAAAGCAAAGTTTGCCACCAATATAGGCTAGAGACCTAAACAAAAAAGAAATCATGTCCTTATGGACATAAGATTATCTAAAGAGGAAAACGGAACCCCAAAAAGGTGGAGAAGAAGGCCATGCAAATAGAAATCAAGAAGGAGGGAAACATGGAAATAGTTTGGGTCTTGCTCACAATTATCCTCCACCACATTAAAATTAATTCTAGTAACTGCTATCAGAATGTCGAGGACAAACAGGAAAGCAAGATGAAGAGAGAAGGTGCATTCACGTTTCAATAAACTCAGGCCAAAGTACAGTACAAGAATGGGTAAGAAAGAGTTGAGGTGTCCAGGCTCTGATTGCAAAATTTTAAATAATATATTAAACCGTTTGAAATCATACATTATGTTTGGAAAAAGTTAAGAACAAAGATTGAACACAAAATGCAAGGATAGCATACCTAGATTTGCTGTTAGAACTGGAGCCTCTACTCTTGGGACCAGTGTCAGTCTTTTTTGATTTTGGATTTGACAAAGCCAATGAGGATGGGGGTTTTTTCATCTGTCTCAGGAACAAATGTCGATCCATAAGAAACTTGGAACAAAAAGTTAAATCCTGCTAAAACTACTGAAGAATTCATACCTTAACTGGAAGTGCATCAGTGGCTGGCGCTGGAGATTCACAAATGCACAAAGGCATCCCACACTTGCAATCTGGAATGCTTGCAACAGACGGATGCTCTGCAGTTGCTTCAGTTTTTGAACCCATAACTGCATTAATGTTTAATCTAGAGACTTCATCTGTAACAGAATCAACTCCACCTAAGGAAGGCTCAGGAACAGCTTTTGCAGATCTGCACCCCAAAGAAATCCACGATAAAATAATGAAAAAGAAAAAAGAAATGGCCTCTTAAAATTGCACTCAAGCAAATAAGAGGAAAAGCAAAGTCAAGCAGGAGTCGAAGGCATCAACCAACACCAAAAATCTAAGACATACCCGAGCAACACACCCTCCCCCTTTTCTTTCCAATCAATAATATTTAAATATGTATATATGTATTCAATCAAGAGAGGTTTACCCTGAAGAGTTATTGAAACAATCTGCACAAACTCTAACAGGTGAGAGCACGCCAAATTGTGGTAATGCCTGAATGTGCACACAGGAAAGAGAATAAAAAGGATTGCTTAGTTAAAGCTGATTTATCCAAACTTTTACAGCATGAGAAATGCATAGTTAACCCAAATATATATATATATATATATATATATATAAATGGAGGGCATGGGGGCTCGAACCATTTGATTAGATGAATGTTCGTGGCATAATGTCCTCCCACAACATCGGCAATGGTGCTGCAAAATGGAGAAGAGACAAACCATTTGATTTCATGAATTTTCCATTTGAAAATCTTTCTAACATAGATAGATTCACACCTACTTTGACTAGAAATTGCATGCAAAAGTGTATATATTTACGTTTACATTTCCTTCTAACCAAGAAATATCATCATGAACTTTTGCAACAGACATTCCATGAAGAAGCATACTAAAATCACTCTGATTATAGTTGATACAGTCAAATATCCATAGAGGTCAGTCGCAACTTGGAATTAGGCTCACACCACTTTATATCATTGTTAGTAACGCATTGTATTCGTGCATAACAATCTCGACAATCTCGAACAAGTATCCCATGGATAGCATACAAATAATATCGAATTATGTTAAAGTTCCTCAATTGACAGCCTTAAGTTTTCAAACATTAACTCCCAGTAGCGCATCTGACTTATATTCGTAACTTCAAGCATGCACCCGATTCAATATTCATTTAAGAATGTAAGATTGCAGTAGGCGGCCTAGCCACTTACAGGCAAACTAGATTGTCAATTACCAATTCAACGCATCAAAAATTAAATCATAAAAAGCTTAATTAGATTCAAAATAACTCTAAATCAGCAATTTAAAGCATTGGAAAAGTCAGCTTTAGCGTGAATATATCAATCAAACAGCTAAGATCAAAGAAAAGAGATCGCACTCCAATACCGATTTATCACAATAATAAACCCTAATCGCTAAAATCTCCTTTACAGGATGATAATATTTTCTTTATTTTTATCAGATTAAATGAAATGATCGGCAATTTATTCGTATAGAACATGAAAATAAAAAATAATAAAAATAAAAGGAGAAGAAGAAAGTACCCGGCGCCTGAAAGTGTTGAAGCTGCACTTGCAGACGTCGCAGCGCGGTGCTTCCTGGAAAGGTGGGGGCTCCAATGGCATTTCCGATCTTTATTTCCCTCTGCCGGCAAAAAACAGATAGAGATGCTGAGTTTTTTTTCGGTGCTTTTTTTCTTTACTTTTTGTTTTTCGTTGTCTTCTGTAACTTTATTTTGTTATCCGGTGTGATTCGGCGATCGGATTTCTTATTTACCCGAATCGTACCCGAATGTGATCCACTTACATGCACGTCAGCTTGTTGGATAATGGAAACGGGTTGAAAAATAGAATAAAGACCAATTTAATTATTTTGCTGTAATTATTAGGGTTTTTTTTCATTAATTATTAGGGTTGGTTAATTTTCCCTTTTGTATCAGAAAATAAATTTTAAAGTTGTTCAAAGTTTGAACTAATATTCTATATTTGAGTTATTATATAAGTTTTTAGATTTTAAAATTGAAATTATAATATTATTAATAATATTTTATTTATTATGTTATTTTAAAATATTTTAATATTTAAAATGTTATTTTAATTATTTTAATAAAATATATGATAATTTTTAATGAAATTTAAAAGCTCCATAAATAATATATGAAATAATTTTTTAAAGAATTATTTTACTAACAAGTATTCTCAAAGTATTGTTTAAGTTTATTATATAAATTGATAAATGTTTTAATTTTGCTAACAAATGTTAAGACACCTGTTAAAATTAGTTAAATTACTATTTATAATAATATTTTATATTAAATATAATAGTTAATAATTAATTTCATATGTTTTAATAATTGAGATTTAGAAGTTATTTAATATAATAATTTTAAAAAGTGCTATACTCATTTAGCATAACCTTTTATTTTTTAAATGCATTGAAAAATCGACATATAATTATCAATTACAAAATATTTAATAACTATTTAAAATATTTAATAAAATTAAAATTTTAATATTTATAACTTATTTTTTTTATCTCAAACTATATTTTTTTTTACAAAAAATTAAATGTGATATTCCAAAATGTTTGATACCTAAGATTTTATTTGATTTTTCAAGACATTTCATAATCAGATTCACTCATTTGGTTTGAAAAAATATTTATTTATTAATTCATATAAAATTATCATAATCTTTTTAATAAGTTGTAGGTAATTTTTAATTTTATTTGAATAAAAAAAAACCCCAAACAATAAATGATACATTTAACAATACAAAATTTTAATTTTAATTTTTTAATTAAATATATACAATTACAACATTTAACTAGACATCAAACTGTAATTACTGCATTAAAATATAAAAAAATATTAATTATGACATTTGGAAGAGCGAAATGCCTTGGTTGTTTTTGTAGATATGTGGGAAAAAATATCAAATAAAATGTTTGTTTAAAGGAAACCTTTTTTTTTAATTTATAAAGATTCTGACAAAAAAAATTTAAGGCATTTGTAAAAAGGAAACATTTTATTTAAATTGGTCAAATAAGGTGTTTGTTAAAAAAATACCTTATTTGATATTCTTATAAATATTATAAAAAAATATCAAAAAAAATATCAAATGAAGTGTTTGTTCAAAATTCCTTAATTGATACCAATTAAGGCGTTTTAAAGAAATAAATGTCTTAATTTATAATCAATTAAGATGTTTCAAGGAAAAAACATTATAATTAATTTTAATTATCACATATTAAAATTAAATTAAAAAATATGATGAATTAAAAAAAAGCTAAAATTGAGTTTTAGACTTACCTAAAAATGAGTTTTAAACTTACTTTTCAAAATAATAATGGATATGTGATAAATCTTTTATTCATATCAATTTAAAAAATAAGGTAATTTTCTTTCTAAAATCTCAAAATACTATAAAGAAAGGTAGTTTTATGATTATGAGATTTTGGATATTATTAAAAATTTAATATTTTTTTTTAAATAATCAGATTATTTTTAACCAAATGTGAAAAACAAATATCCACCATCAAAATTAAAAAAAAAAAAATTATAGATACTTCCTAACCAAACACACTCTAAGTTATCACATTTAATAAAAAATATTATAATAAATAAATATTAATTAAATTTTAAAAATAATTTAAATTTTGCAAAATCTTAAATATATAAATATTTATGAAAATAAGTGTTTTTAACACTCAAATCATATGAAATGCTCTAAACAAAAGCTATTAATATTCAATAAATTTTTAAAACAAGTTTTTAAAAGTATGTTTGGTTTGAGAGGATCCAAAAATTATTTTTAGAATTTAGATTGTAAGTTTTTGATTTCTATACTTAATTTAAAATTATTTGATTCTCAAAAAAAAAAAAATCACATTTTTAACGGTATCTAAAATTTTAAAATAAAAAATTTACATCTCCTATAATATTTTAAGATTAAAGAAAGTTTTTATTCTAAATTTGATTTTAAAAAAATTATTAAAATCCATATTACCCTTTAAAAATGAAGTCTTGAACTAAAATTATATTATATTTTAAATCAATTACAATATGTTTTTAATCATACGCCATAATTGATACAAAATTGAAACTTCTTTGTCAGGCTTTAACTTTTTAGTACGATATTTTTATTTTATATATACATATATATATATATATATACAATATTTAGTTCAATTAGTGTCTTTTATAAATGTGACTATAGTTAAGAAATGCCGTAATTGAGAAGCCAAATGTGGTGGCACCTACTTCCCAACGCCTAACTCACACCGATCAACATTTTTATTTCTAGGCAAATCATTCATTAAATGCGATGCCACCCGCCTCCCAACGCCTCACTTACACGGACCAACACTTCTATTTCTTGTCAAATCAGCCATCGTGTCATTTTTTAATTGGCCCCGCCCTTAGTATTCTGTATTCTCTTCGATATTTATAAGCACAACCTTTCGTAGTGACTAAACAGCGTTTCCTTTGCATGTTGGTTCGTAAATTTTAACTCAATTATAACATGTTATTTAAATAAACGTCTTAGTTGAATATTGTTTAGCATTTTATAAATCAAACTGCTCAAATGATTTTTTCATATGTTTATATTGAGAGCTGTTCCTTAATGTTGCTCATTATATCAATAATGCCATTCATATTGGTGATTATCAGAATTGATCGTTACCATATATAGTATTTTATTTAACCATGAGTAATTCAAGTAAAAAAAAAAAAGGTAAAAAAATGATAGCAATAAATCAAACAAGATTTGAGTGGACAGGAAGACATGATGTGACAGGACATGTGATTATACGGTAAATTGTTGCTTTTGTACCTCGGAGACTGGTGAGGACCAGATTTTTCTGAGGCCCAAGTCCCAACCGCCTTAGCCTTTGAAAAGTCGCAACTATGGATATTAATTCATCAACAGCTAGGGTTCCTGTATGTTTGACGCGTAACTATCTTTTTTGAGCCAGAAACCAACCACGACCCTTGGATTGGTTGACTGACTTTCACTTTCCCATACTTTTTAGTTTTTAATCATATTTTGTTCTCCCTATTGCAAGACAGATGCATATAGAAATTTAGCAAGTTAAAAAAAAAAGGGGGTTTCCATGGAAGGAGAAGCCGGATCATACGAGGAAGTCAAGCCAAATGTTGTCGTTAAAGAAAGTAATGGCGATATGGTCGGTGATAATGATGTTCGGAAGCTGGGATCCGTTGAAGGAAAGAAAATCTTCCAGAACTGGTAAGCTTAATTATATTCCTTCCATGGAAATGAATAATTTTTTTTCCCGGTTCTGGGTGTTGTTGGTTAGATTGCTGTTTAATTATTCTCAAATTCATGTTTCAAAAATGGAAAGCTCTCACTTGCGTTACGTAATTTACCTTAATCATAGTGAAAGTTAGTGCTTTATTAATTACCGTAATCTCATTTATTGAGGACAATTATCTGACTATGAATTTTCTTTTCTGTTGAGCTATGTTATTGGTACCACCTATTTTTGAGAATTTAGTAGTAGTTGTAGTTTTTATTGATGTTAAATGGTTGGAATTGGATAGAGCTACCGCAAATTTTGAATTCGAGGGAATATGGAAGAAAATTTTGAGTTAATTTTCTTTTTATGGTAGGGAAAGTATTCCAGTGATCCTTACTTAGAATTTAAAAGAAAAAAAATGCTGTTATTTAGATCTTATGTTTTAGGTTAGTGTGTTCGGATTTTCTTGAGTTCTAGTTATGTTTTTCTATTGATTCGGCGTTTCCCAAGAACATTAGAAGTTGTTCAATTGTTCATGTATTGTACAAAAAATTATAGTGACTCACTTCAAAAGAAGAGCAAACTATGGTGGTTTTTGTACTTCAAAAGAAGAGCAAACTATGGTGGTTTTTATAAAGACAACTGTACAATGTCGCTAACTGTATAATGGACATCAGAGCTTGATATCGTATGTATGGAAGTCATGATTTAATGAGAAAAATAAATGTTCGGAAGTGCTTGTAATTGTGTGTTGTGTTCCATTGGCAAGCTTCTAAAATGTTGTGAAACTTTCTTCTGTTGGTGTATAAGTTCCCTAGCAATGCCGGCATCTGGACTAAATACCACAAGCATTGCTCCATCGCAACTCACCATCTTCTATGGCGGAAGTGTTTGTGTATTTGATGCAATTCCTGCGGAAAAGGTTGGCCTTTACTTCACATTGAAGATGTTACTAACTTCTAGAAGAATGAGGTTTTGTTCCTAAATTCACCATTGATTCATGTCTGTCAGGTGCAAGAGATTATGCTTATTGCTGCTACTGCTGCAGCTGCTGCTGCTAACTTTGTTGACATGAAGAATGCTGCACCTGATTGTGCCACCACTTCACCCGTTCTTACGAGGTCTCCTTCACTTCAAAGTACTGCAACTGCTTCAGCTTCACCGCAGGCACCTGTGTATCCTATTCACAGGACTTCTCTTTGCAAACTACAATCTGGTAACTTTCAACTAACTTCTCTTGAAGATGGATGAAGTTCAGATGCAAATATTCTATGCATGTTAGCTAATGTAGCATCATGTTTTTGCAAATGTTAATTGGATCAGAACTACCAATTGCAAGGAGACACTCCCTTCAGCGATTTTTTGAGAAGCGGCGGGATAGGTACGCCTTCCATACTGAACTACCGCCCCTTGTTTCTTTCTTTCTTATATCCTCAAACAGAATAAACTCTACCATTTTTACTGTTTAGGTTTATGCCCCTAAGCTTTTATGATATGCCCTTTATGTATACGGTAAATGATGATATATGAATCTTGTTACATGTAGTGATTAAAAAACCATCAACTATTCATAAAGTGATAAAGTTGTTATATTAACTGTCTTTAGAATTTGCTCCAAAGCATGGGGAATATCTAGGTAGCAAGTGTTGCCATGTACGTATGTTTCTTTTTGCAGGCTGGTGAACAGGAACCCATATCCTAATCCATCAATGCCAAAAGCGGCTGATGACACCAAAGCTAACCTCAGTGCTGCAACTTCACCGGAATCAGGCTGCTTTGGAAAATCAACTGTTTCCAACCAAATGCTCCAAGCCCATGATGCCTAAGCTAAGCGTATAGGAATTCTTACATATATTTAATAAAAACTAAATCTTACTGTGTTATTCTTGTAAAATGCAAACTGCACTGGATGACGACATTTGACCTGCCTAATGTAGCATCTACTCACTTGTTTTCCTTTTGCCTCCGGAGGCAGTTGTGACGTCTTTTAGACCTAGGCACCTTGTCTCTAATCTGTCTGACAATTGACAAACTGAGCTATCTAGGATTTGCTATGTATGAAACAATTACCTTGGTTTGTTGGCTCTCTCTGTTCTGTGGGTATGTTAAGACTGATAATTTGTGTGTGATCTGGACGGAACTTTTGGCTTATTATTGTTATTTTTTCTGCAATTAGCATCCTATGCATCTACAGAGGTTAGATATAAAAAACTTTTAAACCAGGCCGGTGCTTGTACGCATCGTGGGCAACGGTTGATTGAACAAAAAAAAGATGGATTGTAGTTAAAAAGTAATCTTCAACTGTGGATCTGACCCAAAAAAAAACCTTCACCTTTCAACTGTGGATGATACTTTGGTAGTAATATTGACCATGCAAGGACGGATGCCGTTAATATTGCATCAGTGCCAGATGGTTTTTTAGGAACCGGACTTGAATGTGACGTTACTCCTTCAACCGGTGCCACTAGAGATTGGTTACCAATTTCAGATTTTCACTGCCAATGAATAATAAAATACTATTTGATCACTAATATGGATTGCATGTTATATAATCAATGATTACAGGGTTCCGACTAATAAAGCATTCTTGTAATATACGCATTGCACAGATAAAATACCAATTCTTGACACGATCAGGAATACCTACCCAATATTATTATGCATAAGTTTTCAAAGACTCAAAATTTCAGAACTGAAAAAGCACTTCTTGGCAATTGCCTCCCCTCGTAATGTGCATCACATAAACAATAAAACTGTCAAAGCTGTTTGAAAACATAATTGGGGAGAGGCAAGACATATCAAGTTAAAACAGGGATAGTTCAGAGGAAAACGCATTCAAATATGAAAGCAAACTGGTGCTGAAACACACTGCACGATGGTCTAACAAAGTACATAACTTGAAAGATAGACATAGCAAAGCACTATATATACCAAAACACCATGTTGAGTAAAGATGCAGGCTCGTAATTCAACTTTGTTGCTATTGCTACTATCTCACGCTAGTGCAGACTCCGCATGATGCCATGTAGGTAGCCCCCTGTCATCACAAGTGACACAAGTGATACAACACCTGCTGGGAAGATTTTCCCTGACCTCTTGAAACGAGAAACCATCACTCCCAAAAGTGCAGCAGATATACCTTCAAATTAGATATCATAAATGCAATTCGAGTTAAACTTGATGGAGCTAACACAAAAAATAAAATGAGAGGAGACAAGCTAAATCCTCTTTAATGGCCTCATATTTGTAATTATCAACTAGCAGCACTTTCTCTAGTTCTCTTAAGTACTACCATTAACCCACTATGCAAAAGAACTTATAGAGGCATCTCTCTTTCTTTCTTCCCTACAACACTGAACAGCTTTCCCTACCTCTTCCTCCCGCCCTTTCTCTCTCTCTCACCTTTCCTTTTCATGAAAGCAAAAATCACTCTTATCTTCACTCTCAGAAAATTTTAATCAAGATGATAACAAAAGGACAAATCAACTAATCTCCTGGAATTCCGCATCTATGGTAAGTTCAACACTAATTGGCAGTTCTTATCTCGTCTAACTCATCACTCGAGATGTAAATTAATCATCTTTAGCAACATAAACATACATCACCGAGGTGCATCAATGAAAAAAGAGTGGCTTACCAAGCCCAAGGGATGAGGCAAAAACTGGTTTCGTGGGAAGCACAGTATAAACATAATAGAGCAATGCGGCTGACAATCCTCCTGACAGAAGCGACTTCTGGCTGCCACTCTTCATGTAGCCCATAGCACCACCCACTATATATATATATAGAAAAAAAAAAAAACCCTCAGTGAAATGTTTGCACACTAGCAATACTAAAGTCCATACAAAAATATCCATCCCCATTGAGCAAATTATTACCAATTTTATTTTATTCTCAAGTCTATAGTTCTGCCTAATTACCCAAAATCAAATTAAATTTCTATCAACTCGAATATATGGCAGTACCAACTGATAAGCAAGAAGTAAAATTGGAACAATAAGTAAACAAAAAGACATGAATTTTACCTCCGACAAGAGCAGCATAACCAAGAGTCAACTTCTGGGACATAGACAAAGACATCTTTTTCTTACTCCCGCCGTCCGGAAACTCCTTTTCTCCTTTATTCCCACTATCACCTCCGCCGCTATTATCCCCACCGCCACCGCCTCCTCCGCTTCTGTCGTCAAACTTGTCTCCTCCGCCGTTTCCCGTGTCTATTTCGATGTCGATTTCTCGCTTGGCAGAATCAACAGTGCCAGTAACAATAGTGGGTGCTTTCGAATCAGAAGATACTACACCAGCTACAGTCACCCCTTTCAAATGAAGCCGACGGTTGCCAACAACTGCAAATCTGGAGTAACAGTTATTGTGAAAGAACCTTAGCCTTTGAAATAATCCAGGTTTTGGCTGAAGCCGAAGAAGAGACGTCTGTGAAACACTTAGCAATAAATCTGCCATTTTTTTTCTAATTTTTGCCTTTGCCTCTGATTCTTTCCTAGTTTCCTTCCGTTTTCTTTTCCCATCCTTGGACTTGCCGAAAGAAAAATGGGCTTTGGGATATTACCAGACCTAGGCTTTCATTGATGTCCAAAAGAATGGGCTCAAAACTAGGTCTGGGTTGAGAACTGTGGGTCAGCCCATGTAAGTTAGCATCGAGATCCGAGTCTCTCTGTTTGAAAACACAGAGGCCAGAGCAGAAAAGTAGATCGTAATTAACGGCTTTTTTGTCTTTATTAATGGTTCTATTGTTTTTGTTTTTGGGGGTTTTTGCAAGAATCGGTTCTTGTATCTGGGATTTTGACTTTTAATATAAAACATGTTGTTTTGTTTAAAGTTTCTTCTTTTTCAATTTGTTTACATTACTTAATATCAATTATCAAGTGCAACAAAACAAACACTAATTTGACCAAAGCCACATCGAGAAGGAAACAGAGGAAAAGATTCCTCAACGAGGAAGGCAAACAAAAGAAAGCAAACAACACCCAAGGAGAAAAGCTCTCTTTCTCTCTCTCTCTCTTTCTTTCATTGCTTTTGCTTTACAAAGGTCAGCAACGACCCCTCATAGCCTCACTCCTTTGACATGGAAATGCCATTCCTTTTTTTGTTTCTTTTTTTTTACTCAACCAGGGTTACGTGTGTTTTCACTTTCTTTTATGATTAAAGTGCAAAAACAAAATCTTTGAGCTTTGTTTTAGGTCACGGTGACGCTGCTCAATCAAACCATTGTTAGTTCAATTCTTATGTGAAAACTCAAATTTTTAGTAGCTAAAATTTAAAAAATAGAGGTAAAGAGAGAAAGAAGAAAAGAGATAGGAAGAAGTTCTAGAATATAGGAAATAGGTGTAAAAATTGTATTTCCTCTTGTAACTACCTCATTTTGTAATAGTTCTGTAATCATTGTTATACCAGCTGTCAATTTTTCAACAAAATAACTAACATGTTGACTCATATATACTGATTGTAAAAAAAAATATATAAATGACTACTAAATGACTAACATGGCATTCTTCTTCAATTCAACTTGTAACAACTACCTTCCCTTCGAAATAATCCTTGTCCTTAAGGATTGAAGCAAGGAAACTTTTTCTGTAGCTCATATAATCCTTTATAGGTTGCATCTTCTGGATAACTATTACTCCACTGTACTAAAACCTCTGTGATTACTCTACCTCTTTTCTTACTTAGTTTTCTATCTAGAACTGCCACTGGTTCCATGGCCACCATTCCATCTACATCAATCATAAGAAGATTAGATTGTATTAGAACCTTTCCAATGTGCTTCTTTAACTATGAAACATGGAAGACAAGATGAATTTTGGCTTTAGCAAGCAATTCTAGTTTGTAGGTGACAGGTCTTATCTTTTTCAACACCTTGTAATGGCCAAAGTACCTAGCAGCTAACTTAAAACAAGGCTTATTGATGACAGATTGTTGTCTGTACGACTGAAGCTTAACATAAACTAAATCAGCAATCTCAAATTGCCTATCAACTTTGTATCTGCCAGCTTGCTGCTTCATTCTTTTCGAGCCTTATCCAAATGAAATTTCAAAATTTTGATTTGTGGCCTCTCTTGTTTGCAAACTTCTATCTACTTTAGAATCTCTAAGTAGATATGGTCGATAAATGGGAACAGGTTGACCATAGACTGCGTTATATGGTGTAGTCTGAATGAAAGTGTGAAAACTAGTGTTATACCACCATTAGGCTAAAGAGATCCATTTGGACCAGTGCTTAGGTTGTTCTCCTATCATACACCTTAGATATATCTTTAAACATCTATTGAACACTTTAGACTGTCCATCTGTTTGAGGATGATAGACAGTAGATATTTTTAGCTTGGTTTTTAATAATTTGAACAATTCTTTTCAAAATGAATTAGTGAAAATCCTATCTCTGTCAAAAATAATAGTATTAGGTACTCCATGCAACTTGTACACATTGTCTAGATAAGCTTGAGCAACTATAATGGTAATGAAAAGATGAGCTAGAGTGATAAAATGGGCATATTTACTTAACATATCCACTACTACCATTATAACATCTTTCTCAAATGACTTAGGCAAACATTCTATAAAATCTATAGACACAGCAGCCTATATCTTATCAGGAATTGGTAAAGGTTGTAACAAACCTAGGGAGACAATTTCATATTTGTATTTTTGACAAATTGTGCATTCTCTAACATGCTGTCGAACTATTTTTTTCATTCCTCTCCAATATACCACATTAGCTATTCTCCTCATAGTTGCCTCTACTATAAAATGCCCTCCATCCACTGAATCATGAAAAAATATCAATAAATCCTTTCTTAACCCAGAATCAACTCCCACCATAAGTTTTCTCTTCCTTCTCAACTGACTTACTTGCCAAGTGTACTTAAGAGACTATCCTGGGTTGTTCTTAAGCTTATGTAACAAATATATCAACACTGGATATTTCAACCAGATTGTTTAATCCTAGCCATTAGATCATTAGTTACAAAAGATAAAGCATATAACAAGGCTGTAGGATTTCGATAAAAAGCATCGATTGCCATGTTGGTAGAGCCTTTCTTGTAAACAAGTTCATAATCAAATCTCATCATCTTGACAACCCAAAGTTGTTGAGTAAACGTATTTATTTTTTGTTTCAACAAAAATTTGAGACTTTGGTGATCTATTTTTATATAGAAATGCCTTCTAGTTAAATAAGCATTCTATTTTTTCACTGCAGCTAATATGGCTAACATTTCATTTTCATAGATAGACAGTGCTTGATGTTTAGGAGATAAAGCTTTGCTAAAATAAGCAACTAGCCTATTATTTTAACTCAACACAACATCAATTTCACAATTTAAATCATTTAACTCAATTACAAAAGTTGAGTTAAAATCTGGCAGTGCTAGAACATGAGCTGATATTATAGCTTGCTTGAGCTTTTTAAAAGCTATTGTTGCTGTTTCTTGCCAATTAAAGGCATTTTTCTTCAATAAATCAATCAATGTTTTGCCATAGTTCCATATCTCTTAATGAACTTGCGATAATACCCAGTGAAGCCCAAAAATGCTCTTAATTTTTTAACAGACTCAAGAATTAGCCACTGTTTAACACATTCAACCTTAGTACTATCCATAGCAACTATTCTCTTACTGATCACATGCCTTAAATACTAATTTTGAGTAGCACCAAAGTCATAATTTAAAAGCTTAACAAATAAATGGTTGTTGACTAAAACATCAAACACCTGCTGCAAATGTGCTAATGATCATTTTAGTTTGATGAATAAACCATGATATCATCAAAAAATATCAATACAAATTTTTTAAGAAAAGGTTAAAATATACTATTCATTAAACTTTAAAATGTATAAGGTGCATTAGTCAATCTAAAAGGCATGATCAAAAACTCATAGTGCCCTTAATGAGTCTGAAAGCTATTTTATGAATATTTGTAGGATCCATTCAAATCTGATGATAACCAGATCTGAGATCCAGCTTAAAGAACTAACAAGCAACAAATAATTCATCTAACAACTTTTTTATTAAAGGAATGAGAAACTTATCTTTACGTGTGATCTTGTTCAACTGTTTGTAGTCCACACAAAGCCTCCATGAGCTATTTTTTTTTCACTAGAACCACTGGAGATGCGAATGAACTGTTGCTATCTTTTATAATTATAGTCTCTTTCATTTCTACTACTATCTTTTCAATCTTATTTTTTTTATACAATTGGGTACCTATAAGGCTTAATCTTTACAGGTTGAGATTCATTTATCAAAGGTATCTTATGATCTTGAGGCCTTAATGGAGGTAAATTTATAGGTGTCTCAAAAACTAGAGAGTATCATAGTAACATTCCTGTAAATCATATGGTAATCCAATTTGTTGACTAAACTGGTGTAACTCATCTTGAGATTGAGAAACTCCAATACCAGATATCATCATTAGTCCACTTGTCTTACTAACCACCTTCAACTTAGCAAATTGCTTACTTGTAGCCATATGTACCTGAGTAACCTCTATTTCTTGCAGTTTATACTAGTTGTTTACTACAACAAATTGTATAGTGAGCAAAGAAAAATTCCATAGAATAGGCCTAAGTGTCTGGAGCCATTGCACCTCAAGTATAGCTTCACAGCCTATTAAAGGTAGCATAAAGAAATTAGTATGTTGGACTAGGCCTTGAACCTCTTAAGTCAATGCTTTACATATATCATGAGTTAATAATTTGTTACCATTAGCTACAATTATACTAATTCCAGTAATCTTCTAAGTGTTACATCCCAATTTCTTAATCAATAATTGATTAATAAAGTTATGGGTACTTTCAAAGTCAACCAAGAACACTACTGATTGGTTCTTGATTCGACCATATAATCTCATGGTCGTATGACCTTCAACTTTAATTAAAGTATGTAAAGAGATGACATGCATGTTCTGTAATTCATGGTCTTCCTCTTCAATCTCTTTTAAATTGTCTACACAATCATAAAACTCCTAAGTATCATTATTATTGTCTTCCATTTCCTCAGTAAACATCTAGTACAATTGAGCCTTAACACACCTATGGTCTGGTGTAAACTTAATCCCACACCACATATAAAGTCTTTTCTTCTTCCTGTCATCTATTTCCTCTCGAGTTGGTATTTTGATTACATTGGATTTTATTAGAATTGACTCAGGTTTACTGGTTATAGGTTTGTAGGTATTTATGGGATTGGTTGATTTAGTAGGCTAGTTATAATTTAAGAAATGGTTTTTTGAGGTTGGTAACTGTGGGGGTAATGTAGTTTTACAGGTATAAGGATTATTATGGGATATATGTGGAGTTGTTACAAAATTCTTGTAAGGTATATAAGGTTTTCTATGCACATTGTATATTAGGGACTCTATCTGTTTGGCTAACTGGTAATCATTGCTTAAGGATTTAGGATAAAACATTCTAACAGGCTTAGAAATCTCAGGCTTCAAATTTTTTAAAAATATACTAAAAGCATTGTCATCAGAAATGGAGATTAAATTTAATAAACTCTCAAACTCCTTATAAAATTCATCAACACTATTGTGTTGCTTTAACACCACTATTTCTAACATAGGATCAAAGAATTCAGATTCTGCAAATCTAGTCTTCATTTTAGTAACATAAGTGAGCCAACTAACCTTTTAAAGACTTTCTTGATTCTTCATGAACCTCTGATGCCACTGTAAAACTCGTCCCTCTAAATGCATTATCACAGTCTTCACTTTCTCATTTTCCCAAGTTTGATCAGCCTCAAAAAATTGTTCGATCTTTAACAACCATTCCTTAAAATCGTCTTTATCAAATTTTGGGCATTCCAACTTAGAGTACTTAGTTGGTACCCTTGTAACTTCCTCAATTTCAACGAAAAGGGTTCTATGACTAATGACCTTGCTACCTTCCATATCACCCACAACAGATTTCTATTTTCTAGCTAATGGTGTTGTTGAATCTCTTATATCAACTTTTTGAAGTGAGCTTTGCTTACTGTTCATGATCTTTTCAAACATGCCACACATTTTTTTTGCAAATGAATCAATCTTATCATTAAGTTGCTTGATAGAGTTGTCAAATTTGACCTCAACCCTTTCCAGCTCTTTTTGCATCTGGCCCATATCTCTTTGCAACCTAGTTGTCGTATCTTCTGTCATTACCAAGAACTGAGGCTTTGATACCAAGAATGATGCTGCTCAATCAAACCACTGTCAGATTAACTCTTTTGTAAAAATTTAAATTTTTAATAGCTAAAATTTCAAAAATAGAGGTAAGAAGTGAAGCAAGAAAAAAGATAAGAAGAAGTTCTAAAATATAAGAAATGGGTGTAAAAATTATATTTCTTTATGTAATCACCTCTTTTTGTAATAGTTCTATAATTATTGTTACACCAACTATCAATTTTTAAACAAAATAACTAACATACTAACTTATATATATTGATTATATAAAAAATATATAAATGATTACTAAATAACTAACAAGGCCTTCTTCTTTCTTCAATTCAACTTGTAACACACGGACGGCCCAACCCGGAATCCAATGCAATGCACCCCTTTCTCTCTCTTTCTCTGTTGCCATACACTAACTCTGTCTTGTAGACTTCCTTGGAGATTAGTATAGAGTCAACTTAGTAGATTTTGTTTCGCTCTGTCTTTTATTTTTCTTCTCTCTCCACCCGTGTGCGTGAGTGTGAGGCTTCACTTTCTCTTTTGTTTTTGAAGGAGTATAAATCTTTGCTTTGCTCTGCTTTGTCTATAGTGTCAACGCTTACAAAAAGAGGAACCCCAGGAAGTTTCCTACCTCCCTTCCTCTTCCTCTAAAAACCCTTTTACTTTCCCCTCTTTGCTGTTGCTTTCTCTTTTGTTTTGTTTTTTGGGCTGCTGTTTCAACTTGTCCCAGAGCCCCACTAAGCTTCATTCAACGCTCTTGCACCCCCGCAGTCTCTTACACTCTCAACGCTTCCCCTTCAGCTTCTTATCACCAGGTACATTTTTCCTTATTTGATCTTTCCCTTTATGTCCCCTTCTTCTTCCATGTCAAGCTCATTTCTGCTTGTTTTTATCAAGCTAAAAGACGTCCTCTTCATGGGTTATGTCCTAGGCTCTTAGCTTTGTTTGAAGTTTTTATATAGTAAAAAAAAAATAAGTCTTTTGCAAATTGATGGTATTTACCTTTTTTGAGTTTTCCCTCTTCAATTTATGGCTTCCCAAATTTGTTGTTCCATTTTAGTTACTTTCTTTGCAGATTTTACTCTGCATTCATTGAATTGAAACTGAGTGGAGCTAACTTGTCCTTTTGTTGGACCCTTGAAAAAAGAAGGAAATTTCTATTGGACAATGGTTTTTGTGGTCCTTTTGTTCTAACCCAAGTGGTATGATGTTGTCACTTCTTTAATAGTAGTACTATTTTCTGCTCTTCTTTACCCTACTTTTTCCAAGTAACTAAAATTTCGGTGTTAATATGAGAGAAGAAGAGGTTAGGAAAAAGAGAGCCTCTTATTGCTTTCTACTCATGTGTGGACCTTTAATTCTTATGTTAGTTAGGTTGTCATTTTATCCCTAGTCTTTAATTGATGTGATATTCAAAGCCTTATTTGCCTTGTTTCATATATTCTCTATGATGGGGATAGATTTGAAAAAATTGCGTTTTAATTCCTTTGTCTAATGGTATGATTGTTAATTCATAATGGCCTCTTATTAATAGTATTGCTATCCTCTTATTGTCATTGCAGTTAGTTTTCTGAACTAATCTACCAATGGAGAAGGCTAATTGTTGCATTTCAAGGCCATCTAGAAAGAGAAAGTTGCCTCAAGAAGGCAATGATATGTTGAACTTCACCTTGGATGAGCTCACTGAAGACCTCCTTGAAAGGGTCCTTTCATGGTTACCAACCTCAATGTTCTTTCGCCTCAGTTCAGTGTGCAAGAGATGGAAATCAGTTGCTGCTTCTGAAAGTTTTAAGCTTGCTTGCTCTAGGATTCCTTCACGGGATCCTTGGTTTTTCATGGTGGATCCCAATCTTAATCAATCAGTTGTTTTCGATTCTGCTGAAAGAAGTTGGAAAAAGCTCAATCATCCGCCTCTCCTCTTGCATAACTGTAACTGTGCCTCCATTCCAGTTGCAGCATCTGGTGGTCTTGTCTGTTTCCGCAATATGTCTGGCAATTACATTGTATGCAATCCCGTGAAAGGATCTTGTCGCGAACTCCCTCCAGTGGATCCAGACTCTCGTGATCGATCTCTTCATGCTATAGCAATGAATGTATATTCCAATTACCATGGCTCGTACAAGCTTATCTTAGTCTCTGGTGATCTTTCAAAGCTTTCTTTCAAAGTTTATAACTCTAGTGCTGATTGCTGGGAAGAAGAGATTATGCTGAGGAAACAAGGTGATGATTATACAGAATTTGACTCAAACGATGATGATGATGCCGTGTACTTCCTTAGCAAAGCTGGAAATGTGGTGGCAACTAACATGCAGAGAAGCCCATCCAAGCAGTATTCATCAGTTATTACTCTTAAAGATGGTGAGGAGATTGTATATTTCCTCAGCTCCTTAGGAACAGTTGTGGCCTGCAATCTGACCCAGAAGTATTTCTCTGAATATCCCAGACTGTTGCCTGTCTTTTCTGAGTACTCCATTGATGTGGTGGAGTGTAAAGGAGAGATGTTGGTTGTTGTGTTATCAGAATTTTTTGAAAGCGCTAGCCTTAGGGTGTGGAGGTGTGATGAGAAAACCAAGACTTGGAATCAGATTGCAGCAATGCCTCCTGCAATGTCACACGAGTTTTATGGCAAGAAAGTAGACATAAACTGTGTTGGGGCTGGTGACCAGATATTTATATGCTTAAGCTCTGCTGAGCTTTGTAGTTATGTTCTCTGTGATTTTGTGACTAACGAATGGGTCGAACTACCCAAATGTTCAATGAATGGTGAAGCCTTGGAGTTCATGTCTGCCTGTTCATTCGAGCCAAGGATTGAGGCTTCTGTATGAACACATGGTGTGGAGTGAGCTATGTTTTGAAGGATTTGATAATGCCGTCTGTGATTCCTCTTTTTTTTTAAAAAAAATCTTTTTTCTCAGTGCTCTTTACTTCATTTATTTTGTTCTTATTTGTATTCTTTTAGAGTATTGATTTGTTCTCTTATTCGAATTGTTTAAGCAAATTAGCCCCTTTGCTGGATGTATTAATGAGATAATGTTATTAGACTATTGGTTGTCATATACGAGAAGTGTCTTTTTACTTTGAATGCTATTGTCTCGCTCAACAAATTTATTAAGTTTCTTGATGCAGTTGAAATTTTAAAACTAACATATAAAACGGATGACAGAAAGATGATCAGTATATCTAAATCGCCTTTCCCAAGTTTCTGATAACAGAGATTCACTGGTTTTACTCAAGATCATGTGAAAATATGACCTTTTGTGCTGTAATGCCACGACCATGAGAATCTTTGTCTCTACTTGCATTCAGGCTTCAGCCAACACTGATCCATAAAAAGCCAAATGTTTAGATCTCGTTTTCGAAGCTGCATGTATCCGAGAAAAGTTTTCTCAATGTTTGATTAATCTTTTAACTGCTTCGGTGTCCCAAAGTTAATCGAAAATCATGTTCAATTCTTCTCCATTTGAGAGCAGATGAAAGCCCTTTTGTTCTCCCTGTGCAGCTTGAAACTTTTTTCCCGTACTCCTCCATATGGGGAATGCAGAATGGTGATTGTGGACCAGGAAGCATGCTATAAAAGCATGGGCCTGTCAGCAGGTCCAGCGTTTCTTTGACAAGGCTATATCATGATGTTTCTAACATTGTCTCTTCAAGCTTCAGATTTCTGTATGATTACTACTACAATCTCTCTCTCTCCCTCCCCATTACGGCTTTATCTTTCTTGCTTGCTATGGTAGATTGAATTACTCGTTCTCCATTTTTTTTCAGCCTGTGAGAGGCTTAGTACTACTCTTACAATCGTTAATAACTCAACTCGGCATAAAGGACTCTTAGCTAGTTGGTTCCACTACATGTGTTCTAACGAGAGGTCGGTTTAAACATTGAATACAAGGAGACTATTATTTTTAAAAAATAAATATTTTAACTTTCATGAAAATCAAATGTTTTTATTTTTTATAAACAGAAATTGCATTTGATTAGTGCATTATCAAAAATTTTTCATTAATTTTTTTGGCAAAATCAAAGTAATGTTGTATTTACATCACTATTAATAATTTTTTAAAATATAAAATACTAAACAGTGATAACAAGAACCAAATTGAGCCCAAATTTTGTTTTTATAGAATGGGCCATTGTCCCCATATCCCAATAGCTGAAGTTGCCCTAGGGCAGGCAGCTGTGAGTGGGCTGAAAGAAAGCGTGCAAAATGAAGATTAGACCGATGATTAAAGCCTTAAAAGGGCCTTAAGGTGATAGGCACCGTCGTTGTCCCCCTCGCTAAGAAATCTGCTCAGAAAAATTAAAAACAGAACTCAAATCAGAATTCTGAAAAGCGCCCAAACAGATCAAAGAGGAAAAGAATTTCAAGAATCGGAGTTCCAAGGCAGTTTTTTAGATTTCATTATAGAGTTGAAAAGAGTGGAATCTTTTTCTTCTTCTTGTTCAGATGAAAGCAGTTTCCTCTATCAATTGTAAAACTCCATTGCCCTTCTTCTTCTGATCTCTCCGTCCGCCATGTAATTGTTAAAAGTGGGCCAAGTTGGATATTTTAAGATTTGGATTCCTAATCCAGCCCACGCTTCTAAACCTGAATCGTGGCTTAAAATAATTATCAGCGTATGTTTTTAAGTTCTCCACGTTTTGTACGGCCATTAACCGGATTAGACTGGTTTTGCGATCATTTCCCCACAAATTGTTTCGTCAGATTTTCTCCCCACAAGCCATTTTGGACAAAGTACCCAATGGAGTTGGCTACCTATTCAATCTCAGGCGCACAACTAAACTTGCTTTCTCCGAAGGATCTAACAACATCAACTTTCCACTCTTTCAAGTATCCTCGAAGAAAAAATTTTCTCGACTTTCGGTTTCCACAGCCGTTTTCCAAAGGCTTTATTGACGGGGGAAGCAGCTTCGGCTTCATTAACAACATTTCCTCTAATTCTAATTACAATGATAGCATCAATAATAAGATATACAAAAGGCTGGATTCTTGTTTGATCATACCTCCATTAGGAAACATGAAACCACGTGCAATCATCAAATTCTTAGGCGGTGCTTTCCTTGGAGCTGTCCCCGAACTTGCTTAATGGTAACCATTTTCCTCCTTTACACTTTTTAATCAATGCAAGGCGCCTTGCTGATTTTAGGTTTGGGGTTCTGTTTTTTCTTTTTTTTTTTTTGGTTAGTTACTTGATTGAGCTTTTGGCAAAGGAAGGATTTTTAATAATATCAGTGCCCTGCAATGTGACATTTGATCATGACCAAGCTGCTAAACGAGTATACGAGAGGCTCAATGCTTGCCTGGACAACATTCTTGCTTTTGGATTCCCAGATGCTAATCTTACTCCTGTTGATCTTGTTAACCTTCCAATTTTCTCTGTTGGTCAGAGGTAAGTATTTCTAGGTGGTTGTTTACTTTCAATGTTTGTTTAACAATACGTAGTTTTGATGAGAATATTTGGTTTTTATGATTACTGCAGCAATGGTGCTCTTCTTCGAGTACTCACAGGAAGTTATTTCTCTGAGAAGATACCAAAGGTTTAGTTTTTCTTTGTGTCTTTTCCAGCACTTGAAGTTTGCTTCGTTTGAGTGCAGTTGTTAAGGGAGTTGATTATAGAAATTAGTTTGTGTAGGCAAAATGCAGAATTATGAAGTTTTAGATATTGTAATTCAGAATAAGTTCAGCAATTCCTAGAGTGTGACAAAAAATGTTATGTCTTGTGGAAGGCTAATGCCATTATCTCATATAACAACAGGCCAGCAACAGAGACGGTGTCGTACTTTGAGCAGGTAATATCTTTATTTTATGGGGGGATAAGGAACTCATATTTTGATTACACTTTAGGGTATACGTTTAGTCCCCATGCCTAGTTTCGTAATAGAATTGCATTAATTTTCACTATGTCAAATGTTTTCCTTGCCACGTCTCTTTGCATTGTTTCTTATGCATATTAACCATTTTGGGCATGTATGAGAAGGATCTAAGCTTAAATTGAAGGTAAATCTTGAACATATGATGGACTTGCACAAATTGATTATTTTGTTATCTTCAATGGTTGATTCCTTCATAGGATTAATACCATATGCATATAGTTGGTTTCTTTAATAAATTGAGTGCATAAAAGATGATGACAGTTATTAATTACTATCATGTTAAAGTTATTAGCAACAATGTTTAAGCATATAATATGTTATTAATGAGGCTGGTTTTCTTGGGAACAACTAAAATTATTTGTAATATTCCATTAAGCCTCCTATATTTTTGCTTATTGCTCGGTACTTTATTTCCCAGAGATGCATGATGTTGTTTGTAAGTTTGCGATGACTGTATGAATCTTGTTATTTGTTGCCCCAGCGTGTTAGTCTAATGAACCATATGAGACTAAAAGTTGTGATGATACTCTGCAGTTGGGTCCTCTAGTTAGGCAGATGATGCCAATGGTAGAGGCATCTCCAGTGTATTCAATGGCTAGGAGTGCTTCAGGTAAATTATATCCTAACTCTTGTCTCTTGTCTGTTGCCTTCCCCCTCCACTCCTGCCATTCTTCTCCCTTCTTTTTGTATTGCAGTTGCATTGTCTTCTTTATCGATTCCCGCAATCTGCTAATATCTTATTGATATGTTGCTATTCTGCAACTTTGTCTTTTTCTGAATCATTGAATGATGCCTTCCCCCATAGTATAACCATAACCTTCCCTATGAGTAGTTTCCTTTTCATGCCTTTATTTGGATTTCAAGTACCAACTGTTATGGTATAGCTGTGATAAATTCATAATGCAACATGATTTTATGATTTGTCGTTCTTAACATGCATGCATCTTATCCTTTTGTATACAAAAATAATTTGAGCTTATTGGATGTACTTTGTCATTGCTGCCATTGCTGGTGATGTGGAAGATGTTTATTGACACAGCTGGAGCAATGATACCAGACAGGGACCAGGAAGCCTTAGTCTCATTCACCATATTTGTTGATCAGTTGCCCTCAATTTTGGTCAGGTATTTAGCTGTCTGTTATAAAATTGTCTGAGATAATACATGAAGTGGCTAAGTCCCTTGCATATTAATTGGTTCTTTCTTCTCCCTCTCATATGCAGTATCAGGTTATTGAATCTAGACTATTCTAGTGGATGAGAGTCCAATTTGGAGTTTGCAAAATTTTATTTTAAGCAATATAAATGTCTGTACAAGATGGGGTAAAGGTTAAGGGAATAATGGTGTGGCTTGCTAGTTTGAATAGACCTTTCCAACCTTATGTTTTTTTAATGTTATTGAGACACCTCTAAACTGGTGGACTCTAGTTTTTTGCTTTTGACATTTTAAATTTGTTTCTTTTAGGTTACCCAAGGGATATCAGAGTTCAATTCAACACCATCCGAGAATCGTGAATGTTGTAAGAACAAATATAACGTCCAACACACTCTACTGGTATGTTTTATGTGCTCTCTATTTTCTTGATTAGATAATATATGTGACTTTTGTGTTTGTTCTAGTGAATCTACTCATTTTCATAGGTGAAGTTTGGCTCTGACACAATTGATGAAAATGATCTCCTTGAAGAGACACTGAAGCCTTGTGTGAACTCCATTGGTGGGACGCTAGAAGAGGTCCAATTAAGTGTTAACCATATAACACCATGTGTGCAGGTATACCATGCAAATTTTATCTCTCTTTGCCTCCCGTAGTTCATCCTACTGTCCTTTTTCTATATACATTTGGTTGTTCAGAGAGGATGGGTACTTTCTGAATTCTGGGTTGCCATGTTCATGGCGATAGACACCTTGAACTTATATGTTAGTGATTCAATTTACCTTGCCTGATCAGGAACCAAAATGGCAAGCGGGCAATGTTTACACTCCAGCAGATGCTATTGCTCAGGGACTTAAGACTCTCGCACTGAATGAAACTAAAGTGCTCTTGAGTGCAATTACTGATTGGTTCAATCGTTTCGAAGACTAACTGCCAGAGTTCAATGGATAGTTGATTCTAAGTGAGCACAGTTTATTGAAAGAAAAAGAATGAGAGTATATAGTTACAAGGAATTAAAATTGGACCCCCCTTTGTGTAGCTGAAGCGCAATGGGCTTTCATGAGTACCAAAAACAAAAAAAAAACAGAAACAGAGAAATTAAAATTTAGACTGGACACCAATCAAATAAATATATAGAATGGGCTCCTGAAACCTTCTTTCATCTGATATACTTTTCTAGCCTGAATGTACATACTTTGAGTTTCATTACTTGAATATTAATCCATGAAATCAAGGGAAAACTAATTGTTCTTAAGTGGTGTTTTCACGAACAGCTAATTTTCTAAACTTTTTGGAGGATGTGTTTCAAAATGGCTATAATCCTTCACATGAACTTAGTTTTTCGTTAGTTGGAAAATATGTTTAAGTTGAACATTTCTGGTTGATTGGTATTTCTGCATTCTTGTTCTGGCGTGGTTCTTCCACTACAGGTTTTATATGCTTTTAAATGACTGATGCTCTCTTATCAAGCAAATTTAGTCCTGTTTTGCCAACTAGCTTTGACTAGTGTGCATCTTTAAGATTTACAGGCAGTTGAGTTGCATATCAATTAAGGCCCTTGGAGTAATACACATATTTGCTGCACGTAGTTGGGTTGCAAAACCTGCAAATTTTATATGTATACTCGATCCGTCTTTCTTACAAGGTTCTTTTTTTTTCTTGAAAGGATAGTGAACAGAACACCCTGCAAATAGGATGGACTTGGTGAACAAGATCTTATCTTTGCTGCTTAGATAACGATCTGTTTATTTGTTTCTAGTATCAATCTCAGCCAGATTTATTTCCCACATATTGTATCCAGATTCCCGCTGGACTAAGCTATAAGTGGCATATCTAAAATCAAAGATCAAGTTGATTCGTGCATTTATTGATGTTATTTTAGTTTTTCTTGCTTGCATGGGACGGGAAGAACCAAGAGACAGGTGACAGGCTACAATTTAAGACCAACCCACAACAAAAATTGCCCTCTAGGTTAAGGAAAAGGAAAAAAAATGCCAACTTGTAGTAAAATTTTGATCACTGTAATTTCTCTTTGGTGGCATTTTATGAAACAACTAAAAAGAAGTTATTTTAATTCTGTAGCGCAAGTGATGTGCTCCAAGTTTCTTATGCAGCAGCTTTCACTTTCTCAATCAAGTCTGCAGCGTCTTGGACGGTTGCAATGTTCTCAGCTCCACCTTCTCCAACTGAAACTCCAAATTGTTCCTCCAAGGCCATCATTATCTCCACCTGAAATGAATTGATAAAACATTGTCTCAGTCATGTTTTGTTTTCTGATACAATATAAATAATGTAATTTCTAAGAGTAAAAGGTTATTTAGTAATTTGAAGAATCCTCTTTGTAAAGGAACAAAAACCAGGATGTGCACATGATGCAAGAAACTGAAAAAAGGTTGTAATAATTACAAATTTAGATTTGTCTTGAAGAGATGTACCGTGTCAAGGGAATCAGCACCTAGATCAGCAAACTTGGTTTCAGGAGTCACCGCGCTCACATCAATTGACAACTGCTTAGCAATGGTGTTTTGGACGGTTTTCAATGTCTCAGGTTGAGCCTGGCCAAAGCCAAATGTATCAAGATGATGAGCTAAATGACAGATTTCATGCCAAATTAGAAGAACAGACATACGATGCTTGAATTGTAGTAAAAAATTTTGACAGGAGTTAAATTCCTTACAAGAGAGCATGAAATTGAAGTCTTAAAGCAGCTAGATCGAGTAGAAAACTTGTTTGTCTCCTTTGAGAATTGGATCTTTGGAATAAGCTTTAATCCGTTAAACACAGGACCTCCCTGCAATAAAAATTCGGTTCAATCGTCTTAACTATTCACATTGCACCAATTTAAAAGGGGTAATTGCTTACAATGGTAGTGAAGCTTTTGTGCTGAGAAATAGATCCTCCGGCTCTGGGAATTGTAGCAAAGGTGGCCAATGGGCAAACTGAGATTGAAGCAAAAGCAGCCATTTTGACTAATTAGAATAGAAAATGTAACCTCAAATTAATGAGAGCTATATCGTTTTACCAAGATTAAACGAAGTGAATGGATGAAGAAATTAACTCAAAGTTGTTCATATAAATAGAGAACTTGTATAGACAAGTCAGAAGCTGGCCGGGGAGTTTCATAAAGAGCCGATGATGATTCCAATGTTAGATTTTGTTTTAGGGTCTTTGGAATTGGGCGGTCAATTCCATGCATGAAAATTGTCCTCTTATGGTACGCCAACTCCAAAGTAGCTTAGGCTTATCGTTTTTTTTTGCTTCAGCCCTTTTTTTTTTTCAGAAAAGGCAAAATCTCTCAGGTCTAGCCTAATATTATTGAATTTGAAACACAGTGTTGTCATAGGCATAAATAGGCAATAGGTCTGTTTGCAGCAGCTGTTGCAAGAATTTGGTGCCTCAAGTCGAAGTAAGGTAACATCTGACTTGTTAAACGATCATATGGTTATTTGGGCAGATGTGATTAATGTAGAAAATAACGAACATAGAGAGATCGATGGTTTTCAAGCCAGCATTAAGTGCTAACTCTTGGAAGAAGCCCTGCCTTTTTTTGTTGGCAAAATTCACTAGTCACTACCTCTATATATGCACTGCAACATTTTCCAATAACCAACCCAATTCTTTTATCAAAAAGATCAACCGAAATTAGAAAAGAAATCATATATCCTTCTGAAGGATTTTAGCTAGCTAGGTTAAGCGGATTGAAAGCTCGTTTTACTGTTTTACCATGGTTCCTCTGGTTACATTTACTCAGTTACTTACGCACAATGATAGGTCCACCTCTAGTACATTATCCCTATTGCGCTTTTAATACAAGATTTCGATCCAAATTTGCCGTTCCAAGCGAAACCGTATAAGTGCTGATCCGTGGACTGGCACATGTTCTCTATGGTAAAATGTAAGTTGTCTTCACAAAAGGTTGAGTGAAGAAAGAATAGCCAGAAAATTCCACAGTAGTGCTAGCTGTTGAAGCATTTTCTCATGGATAGCCCATTGCTTCTTAATTTGAATGCATGCATGCAGCTGACCATGATATTTTCTTTCTGCATGCATGTCACCACCAGGTCCTATCATGTGCTTGCATTCAAGTGGAATAAAATTTACATATCCTTCCAATATCACACCTCAAATAATAAGAAAAAGAGTGACAAAAATTATTGATAAGATAAAAGAGATCGTGGACTACTGCAGTTCTACCTTTGTGGTCATTCGTTTGCCCTTTATATTTCAGAGAGACAGTGCCTTGGCATAGAATTGGATTGGTAATGCTGGGTTTTTATTGGCTGCAACTTGTCATTCAAAGCCATAACTAAAAATTTGATGCTACTTTCTCATCTTCGGGTTCTAGAAAGAGAGTTGTATGTTGTTGGTGGCAGATTGAAAATGGAAATGGTCCCACCGCCACCTCCCCCAACCCCCCACTTATGGAGGAAAGTGACAATACACTTTGGAGGGTAAATGGAGAGGAAAAAGAGTGAGAGGGGCTGCATCATCCGATGAGAAGACACCCCCACCCCCACGCCTCTTCTAAATTCAGTAAGTGACAGAATTCATTTTACCACAATTTCAAGTGGAAAATAAATGGCTGGGGCTATTAAATACTAACACTGTAAATATCAGCATGTGTTGACGGAGAGATGGGGCAGGGTATGCTGACCTGAAAGTCAAATTCAAATTGGAATTCGATTTAAGCCAGTCCTTATGGCATTGATCACCACTGTATTTTTTTACCAGGATCCTGTATGGTTAGCTAATAGAATTCAATTTGTACATCATTTATCAATATTTCAGCATTCAAGTATATTACAGATATGTTAAAGAAAAAAAAAAGGGTTATTGGGGGATGATTTGAAGATAGGAACACCGACTTTTTCAAACAAAAGGGTTTTGGAATTATAGTGGGTCAAAGTATGGTGGGTTGTCATTACTTTGTGAGCTTTGCATTCATTTATTGTCTATTGGAGTTTTGTTTTTTTTCCCACTGTTCTACATAACAAGTGCGTACTTGGTTTTTCCTAAATTGTTTAACAACAAAATGATCATTTAGATGAATCAAAATAATGTGCTATAACTAGCTTCGTGTTCTGGATTTTTGAATGAATTAATAACAAAATTATGTTGAAGAAATAAATGAAGATAAAATACATAAGATTACGGTAGTGAACAGTGAACAGGATAGTGAAACTGGCAATTGAATGAGGGCGGATGGCAATGAAAAGCTGCAGGCTTTTTCGGCGGTGGATGGCTGCAAAGATGTTGTCCCTTTCCGGCATTCCCACGTGGCAACCGGCCTCTGATTGGAGCCTCAAAGCCCTGACCACATGGCATCCCTTTGTCAGTAATGCTCCCCCGCCCCCACACCTCCATTGAAAAATAGCCGTTGATTATGACCCGTCACATCATGTCATCAGTCTTTGCAGGCGGTCCCACCCCATTCTTAGGCAATTGGATAATTAATAACGCCTTCAGCTTTAGGGTAAGAGGAAAAAAAACTTTGCTCATGCAATCAAACCTAAAATGTCAAACCAGCTGCCTAAGGAGTCTATCCATATATCAAGAATTCAAACGAGTAGTAGTACTTGTAAAAGTTTATCTACTGTTCACACTCAGAGTCTTCTGCTCACCATTTTCTCCATAGCAATATTCCAAGCTATCTTCAGTACTTTGGAATGGTTTTCCCTTTGGGATATAAATAATATCTAAACCCTTATACCAAATTAGAAGTTTTATGTTATAGGAGTAACATTCATTGCTATATTAATTTGTATAACTATAGGCCATATTTTCACAAAAATTACCAAATATTAAAGCTGAAATTGTGATACAGATGGCAAATGCACGAGAAACAGTAAAGATGCATGATTGACTTAGTATACATATATTTATTAAGGAAATTAATTAAAGGGGCCCAAAGAATTACTGTAGTAGGAGCAACTCACGATCGATCAAAGAGAGAAAGAGAGAGACAGATAAAAGGGGGAGCAGACCTGGATGCTGCATGGTCACAGCTATCAACTGAGCCAAAAAAACAAAAAAAGAAAAGAAAAAGAGGAAAACTCAACGGGAGTAAATATTTCTGTTCAAGAGAAAAGCTTTGTTTTTATCCCCTAAAATGTGCGGGCGCTATACGTTGGAGAGCTGTATTGTTGTAAAAGGATAAAAGTGTAAAGACATAAGTAGTTTACAAAGGCACTGGTGTGAATGGAATCCAATGGCAGATAAAGAGAGAGAAATGGAAGCATATGGGGATGGTGTGTAGGGGTGGTGGTCGTGTGCTGCGGTAATGTGATTCGTTGAAACCAATCTTTTTCATTTGAGCTGCAATACCTGCGCGTGAAGGGATTGGTGGAAGCTGGTTTTTTCTCATCAGAAAAACAGAAACCCTCGTCAAAGTCGTATACTATTTGCATATGCATCTTTATCCGCTTCACACGAACAGGCCTGTGCTTTTCTCTCTCTCTCTCTCTTTCTCTTTCATGCATCTCTTATGAATAGCATTTTGTTTCTCTATATATTATATGTTAGTATATCTCCACATTCATTATTCTTCTATATATATATATATATTTATTCTATTTATATTCTAAAATTTTATTTTTATCCTCTCTATTATTTCTGTCTGTTCAGGTGTAACTTGTATGTATGCCTATGGTTATACATTTCAAGTGTTTGTTTCTGTTGTGTGTTTACTCTATTTTCAATTCTGCCCTTGTGCTTAATTTAACCATAATTATAAATTGTTGTCAACATATAATTATCTTCTCCTTTTTCCCCATTTTGTTGTGTATGTAGTTCTGCCAGTTTACTTTTGGTTTAAGACAATGTCTGAGTAATGTTAATTTTGTTCAAGATGTTAAAAGATCATTCTGCCATATTCATGATAAAAGGGGAAAAAAAATCCCATTTTCTTACATATCAGGTTTCTTGTTTGCTCAGCCAACTGGGAAGATTGAACATACAGGTTTGAGATCAGTCCTGACTCCGACTCCTGAGCAGTTAATGCATCTTTAATCCTTTAGCTTATGCAAAGATAAAGGTTGTAGATCACAATTTCTTGATAAGTACTAGTGTTAACATGTGAAATTAACTTGGCCAAAATGTAGTAATTTGAATAAGGAATTTACCTTAATTGACTCATGCACTCATCTTTTTTAGGAAGTTTCTTTCAATAAATTTAAAATTAAATCACAACATTTGTAATTTTTTTTTTCTATCTTAGACCATGGTTTTTTTTTTTTTTTAAATATGCTAATTTAGTTTACAAATAGCTAGCTATCATTTGCAAGAGCTGTAACTTTCCAACAATCATTAGTATGCATTATTTCTGGTCCAAGAAATTTACTAACGACAAAGTTATGTTTTGAAAGGTAAGCACATCAGATGATTTTCAATGGTTCCATTCTTAGGCCATAATGATGAGGTAAGCATTTAGAATGATTTTTTCTGATATCCCGAGATATAGAGTGCAAACACTCCAAATAAGAAATTGTATAATTAATACAGTAAATAGAGAACACAATCTTTTATTTGTGCAAAACTTTTTATTTCCAGTATTGGTTTGAAGCTTCATAATTCACTCTAACCAGACCAAATGCTACATTTGCTCCCTATATAGACAACAAGTTACATAGATGAACAAACAGTGTCAGTTTCCAAATTTGAATATAAAATAAAGTGTTAATTCTAAACATTTCACGTTTTCATAAATGTGTACAGTAACAATTGATTTAATAAGTTTATCGTACTTTTAATTGAATTAAAATATTAATTTTAGTGAGATTAAACCAACATAAATTTTTTATTACATTTTTTTTAATCATAATTATAATAATTTTTTTTATTAATTACAGTTACAGTAAATTTTGTTTTTATTTTCAATCCCACCATAACTAATCTTATTGTCCATGCAAATAGAGTCTTAGATATATTACTGTCATTGACAGCAGCAATAAATATCTCTTCTCTAGGCTTTATTTTCACTTTTATTGCTACCTGAAAGCACTGAAAAAAGCCGCAGAAGCCATGCCTCTGGCTCTGCCACCTCTAATTGGAGTAAGAAAGTCGAAGCAAACAAAGAGGTTTAGTGAAAATGGCAGCAGCAAGACTGATCAGGAATAGATTTATAAGGAAAATATATATATATATATATATGAAGATGGTATGGAGCATTTCTGTCTTTTAACTTGCTGTAGAATGCCTTTAAAAAAGGTCCAAGTTCTCTATTTCATGAACAGACTCAAACCATGTCCAACAATTTGTGTTAAACAGAAATATTGGAAGTTTTCTCTTCTTTTCAAAATATAAAGAGGAAGGTTACAACAATAATGGAGATTCTTCTGTCAGTCTCTTGTATTAGTCTTTTGCTGACGTTTCTAATAGTCTGGTCCCATCGTACTTGCAGACAAGAACCCAGAATAACCCATCCATTCTTTTTTTAGCCCTCAAATGCCCTCAGATTGAGAGTTAGATCATCAGTAAAAATCAAGAAATTACAAACTAAACATCAATGCAGCCTTGCTTCTGATCCCTTCACCTCAGAATCCCTCCCTGTCTCTTTTTCATCATCCTAAATCCTACCTAGGAGTCAGAAGCTGTCCCCTTTGACATAATGAGGACTAACAACCAAATCCTCCACTGTGATGTATTAATTTAAGTTCACCATCATAATTTTTTTTTCTTTTGTCATTTTTAATCATTCAGGGTAACACAAGCATAAGAAACTAGCGTATTATTATTATTAAGTGAGATTGATCGTGGAGGCATGAAATAGTTGCAAATTTTGCTTTAAAATTTCAGCGAAGTCTCCTTATTTGTCTCAATACAAACCACTGAATTTGTCTGGATAAATTGAATAATTTAAGCCATTGTTCAACTGTTTAATTGGATCAATTGCAAATGAAGTTACCATTAGCACCACTTGAAGTTAGGAGTGAGAAAAACTAAAAATCGAAAATCAATTCGAAATTGCAATACTGTTTAATTTGGATCAATTGTTTTTTTATTTAGTTCAAATTAAGATCGGATATCAAATATATATATTAAGTTTAAATCAAATTTAAAATTAAAATATAAAAAATTGAAAAAAAAATTGAATCAAATTGAATTATTTATTTTTATTAATTTTTATATATATTTTAAATTTTTTTAAATAAAAATAATTATTATATATATAAATTTATTTAAATATATTAAAAATCCTATAAAAATAATATATAAAAACAAAAAAATTTAAAAATTGATAAATCAAACTGAACAGATAAAATTTAATTTAAATTAAATTAATTTAAAAAATAATTCAAATTTAAATTAAATTTAAAAAATTTATAATTTTATATATTATTAAAAAAATTAAATCAAATCTAATTCCATCTAAAGCATTAAAACCTTACTTGTTCATTATTTGGCAAGTGTGCACTAAACAATTAGGTCATTCACTAAATGAAGTTACCTTCACGTCTTTTATGGCAATTGACAGGATGTAATAAAACGGTAACAAATTTGGCTGTTTGCCTGGACGGGAAAGGACTGAGGTTCGAAGGTAGCGGGCAAAATATATATATTTTTTTTCACCAAAGCCAAAGGGAAGCAAACTTCTCGTAAATGTAATTGAAGGAAGAGGGCAGTTTAGTAAAAGAGAAATCGTAACCGCTCATTTAAAAGCATGTAATAAAACGGTAACAAATGTCGATTGCCAAAACAAGGAAAAATCCAAAAAATTTTAAAAACCCTAGGACTAGTATTTATATCACCCCTACGAGGCCCTCCGGCCTACTCCAGATCAGCCTCTGCTTCTCTCTCTGCATTCTGTACTTTGTCTTTCAGAATATTTGAGAGCAAAACCATGATTCTTCCAACCAACTTTCTCTTTCTACAGTTCTAAGTTGAAAAACAAAAAACCAAAAAGTGAGATATGAAGGGTCGATCTTCCAAGCAAGAAACAAGAGAAGGAATGGATATTGATAAAATTAGTAAACTCAAAGAAGAGCCTCATCTCTCTGGTGCTTACATCCGTAGCCTTGTTAAACAATTGACCTCTTCCAGAACCAAAGACCCCATGAAACCTAAAGACCCTGACTCTGTTGATGCTGTCGGTTTTAATGGCCAAAATTTGACCAGATTTGGCAAAGGTTTTAGTGAAACACCACAGAACCAGCAACCCCAACCACCTCAACAACATAAGAAACAGGTCAGGAGGAGACTTCACACCAGCAGGCCTTACCAAGAAAGGCTGCTTAACATGGCTGAGGCTAGGAGAGAAATTGTCACTGCACTCAAGTTCCACAGAGCTGCCATGAAACAAGCAAATGAGCAACAGCAACAACAGCAGCAGCAACAGCAACAACAAGAGCTACAACAACAGCAATTATCATATCCCTCTCATCTTCCATCTCCACCACCTTTTGAACAAGAATCAAAGACAAAGTCTAGGAGAAATCCTAGAATATATCCATCAAGCACAAACAACTTCTCTTCTTATGATTTTGACAATTTTTCCTATTCATCTTTCTCTCAACATTGCCCTCCTCCTCCAAATCCATATTCTTGGCCTGCTTCTCAAATCCCTCTTCCATCTGCCACAGACACTTTGAACTTCACTCTACCCAATCAAACCTTAGGCCTAAACCTTAACTTTCATGATTTCAACAACATAGACACCAACCTTTACCATAACAGCAGCAACCCATCAATCTACTCATCCTCATCTCCATCATCGTCATCTTCCCCAACTCTATCCGTCGTAACTGAAGAAGTTCCTTCAGTTGCACTATCACATGAAGTGGGACCGGGAGCTATGGCTGATTTAACTGAATCCTACGGTGGGGGAGACCTGCATCAAGCTGTGGATGATAAGGCAATGGCAGAGATCAGATCGTTAGGAGAGCAGCATCAAATGGAGTGGAATGATACTATGAATTTAGTAACATCAGCATGGTGGTTCAAGTTTTTGAAGAATATGGAGCTTGGGCCTGAAGTGAAAGCTGAGGATGATGGGTACCAGCCATTTGATCAAGTCATGGAATTTCCTGCCTGGTTGAATGCGAATGACAGCTGCTTGCAGCAGCATTTCAATGATCTTTGCCCTGATGACTACTTCAAGGATCCTACCTTACCTTGGTAAGAATCCAAAATTTTAAAAATAAAAAAGTTCAGAAATTATATCAATTAGGAATGTTTCTCATGTCATGTCCATTCATACATTGAATATTTAGTATAATTTTGATCCGCAATTTAACTATTATAAAAAATCAAAATATTTTGGTAAATCGATCAGAGTGCAATCGGATTGAATGGAAGGATTAGAGTTCCTTGAGATTCTCTCCATTGGATTCAATTGAGCTATGAAAATTTCTTAAATTCAGTAATTTACCTCATTGTCAAATTTTTACAGACAGAGGTTACAATTTCTGACCAAGAAGAGTCAATAGATGCCATGAGAAACAAAGCCCAAGAAAAGACCCATTTAAGTCTAGGATATGGGTTTTTCTTACAAAAGTTGGCTTTCTCAATTCTGGTCTCGTAGTTTAATGTGTACAAAAGAAAAAAAAAATTTTGAATCCATTGCCGTAAAGCATTCATTCTTTTTACCCATTTGATGTTTGTCTTGTATTCTTGTGATTCACAGCATGGACATTGGAGAAATTGAAGGAATGGATGGGGAGTGGCTGGCTTGACAAGGATTGATTATGTTTTTAGTTAATCAAATCTTTGGCATCAATTTGTCTCCCTTAATTTTGTTTTCATTTTTAAGTCCCTTTCTCCCCTACTTTCTATATTTCACTACTGCTTTTTAGAAATCTTTTGATCTAATAATAAGGCTTGCAAATATATGAAAGGAAGCAGGCAGGCCAATGAGGAAAATAATATGTATCAAGCAAGAGGAATTTGCTTTTTCCTCTACCAGTTTCCCAATATCAACAATTTTATATATTTCTCATCCTATAATCTTAATTTGTCTTCTTCTACTTTTACAGCTGATTGTGTTTCCATTCCAGTCTAAGGCAATTCCCGTCAACTTAATTTGTTTCCCCTTCTATAACTTTTTTTCTTTTGGTATTTGAGATTATCGTGGATTGGATTGAAATTAAAAATTCAATATTATATCATAAGACTGTTAGACTAATTTTTTTATTCTAATGTTTTCGGTGGCCATGAAAATTTTATTTGTTTAATAATATTTATATATTAATTATTATATTTTGATAAATGAGATTTCATTGATGAACTAATTCTACCATTAAAGGGGGGAAAATCGGCCTTGTACTCCTTCAATTAGATACCTTCCTTTAAAAAAGATCTTAAATAAGATGGGATTATGGAAGAAATTTCTACATGAAGATGGTAAATTTAAGTGGAAAATAAAAGTAATTGACGAAGATACGTATGTAAAGATGATAAATCGAATAACAATAATTAATTATGATCTGTTTATTAATATTTTATAGGAATTAAAAATGGAAAGTTGTTTGCTGAAATTTCTGTTTTTAGGAGAGCAAATCTAAAGTCCTTTTGTTAGTTCACTCATTTCGATTAAATGATTATAATTTAGAATGCACTTTGATATTTCAAAATTAATACGTTTTAAGTCGTAATAATAGTAATTACAAAGGGTGAAATCTCTTTTATTGATTCAATAATAGTAATTAACAAATGCTGAAGTTTTTTAATCTTTATATATCACATAAATTTGAGATAGAAACTCAATAAAAGTAGAGATATATGAAAAGAAATTAAAGGGGGAAGTGGAAGAAAAAGGAAAAGAAAAAGGAAGAAAGTCCAAGGAAAAGATAAGGATAGAGACAACTATAAGCTAAGCTTTAAAAGCGGACGCCGTCCAATTGTCGAAAAGCAGCCATGCAAAGGAGCAAGCGTCAAAACCAAACCTACATATATACATATAACAAATACATACATATATATATATATATATATGTATATATTTGTTATTTGCTAAATTGTTAGGTCAGTTCATGCACGTCAATGATGTAATATATTATACTGATCAGTTAAAAAGAAAAATAAAAGAAAAAGACCGATTGACTCCAATGTGAAAGTAACCATGTGTTCTTCAACGACAACTGGTCTCTCATCATCATTGTTTGAAACAAATCTCTAAGGCCTTGGCATGCACGTCTTTTGCATACGCCCAATAAAGCTTGCAAATAAGTTTGTTCTGTTTCTTCTTTTGTAAGTATAATTACATTTTATTAAATTGCCCCCAACCCATGGCTGATTCACCATCTTTAAATTTTTATATGTATCCTTAAGACCAAATCATCCATATGTATGCCCCACCTACCAAACCTGCAAACTAATACTTTGGCCAAGAAAATAATTTATTATAAGCTACTACTGAATATTTGAAAACGTTTTAAGGAAGAGTTAGCTTTTATATGGTTAGATCAACCCCACCACATACACACTTCACATCATCACATGATTAAAATACTTTATTGCAAACAATATTGAGGATGTGAGAAAAACAAATTATGGCACAACTTAAAGAAAAAAAAAGGCGTTGAAATGATTGGTATATAGCAATAGCATGCATATATATTTTCTTAACCCAACTTGATATATGTAATACATATATAAAACTTTAATGTTTTCTCTTTTTTTTTTTTCTTATTCTTTCATGTTATTTATTTTTTCTTTTCTCCTCTAATGGAAGAAATTAAGGCTTGTAGCATTCGAAAAATCAAGGAAAGGACCCAAAAAGGGCCAAAAATTCTAAAACGACGGTGATGCGGACCAAGCATGAAGGCAGTAAAGATGGTAATAAATTCTCTTGACATTTGGCTCTTCTAGAAACATTACAACAGTAGCAGTAAAGATGGTAATAAGCAGCTTTGGGTACGTGTACTAATACAACACAAATTTAAAGACAAATTGTCTCTCTTCGTGGAATTTTCACCTCCTCAACAACCACATTTAGTGCCCTTTTCACATAAAATTTCCAGTTCGACACCTCCAAGACCATCCCTCAGTCAAGAAAATTTTCTATTTAGCAATAAAATACTAATTATTTTACTAAATCGTATTTGTTGTTTTAAAGTTCAACTAGAAAGAAAATATTTGACTTCGTAAGATGGGGTTGGTTTGGACTTTAGAAATTGGCATCTTTGTCTGAGGAAGTATGTCTTCAGGGAAGATGGGTCAATCGGTGTCCCATCTATAAATCTACCTAGTAATTCCGGTTGGATTTAAAACTCAATCTAATTATATCATGCATGACCTAATAATATAAGTTAGCTAATGATCATGCATGATTAATTATATATGTTAAATATTATTATTTATTGATAATGATGGATTTCAATTTTTTTTCAAAAATATTTACTTATAATTAATTTGTTGGTGGAAAAGGTGTACAGAAAAAAATTTTTCTTTTTTTTTTTTTATTTTTCAATTTTGGAATGTCTATAGACACTAATTCAAAGGGTGAATCCACCCTTACTTATTGAGTTTTACTCTTTAATAAATTAAAATTTATCTGTGTAATCTATTTATAATCAAATATTAAATTTATAATTTTAATAATTGAAATTCAATCTTTAATAATTTCAAATACATATAAAAAGTCGAGGTTTGATTTGACTAACTTTATTAACTAGAAAATCGATTATAAAATATACAAATGCTTTGATTTTGTTTTTTGTTTTTTAATTTTTGCCAGATTTATAGTTGCAGATGAATGGTTTGAATTTTGAAGTCTATGGCTTTTATAAAAAACTATCTTCCAAAATTAAAATATGAAAAATTTAATAGTTAAGAATATAAAAAAAATAGTCACCTACACACAAAGTGACGTGATGCACTTGGAGAAGCACCACATCGAGGGTGCTGCTAGGAAAGTGCATGTTTCACGAGCGCATGTTTCAATTCTAACTCTTTTGTTGATGTATTAATTTATACAAAGAAGAGGAGGTAAGAATGAACATCATTTTCTTAATGAATCGGTCAAGTGCATTTGGTCTAATACTCCTCTGCATGTAAAAAGCCACAGGCACCATCAAAATTCCACAAATTCAAGGAAAAAATGTGGAGACAATGTGACTTGTAGCTACGAAATTGCGTCACCAAAAAAGTGAAAATATTCCACATAGACAGCTAATATTTAGAGTAAATTATCTTTCCAATCATTCGTTTTTTCAAATTTTTTGCTTTGATCAACCAATTTTGAAAAATTAACATTTTGGTGATTAATTAACGTTTAGTTATAAATGTTGCTTATTCAACTATTAAACAATAATGGATCTCTCATATGATACTTCCATCATCATATATACATGTCAATGATTATATCCATGCCATCATTTTTGCCAAGTGGCCATGTCCAAGATAAATAAACAGTTTTTTTTTTTTTTTAAATGGTGATAAAAAATGAGGATTCATTATGTTTTAACAGTTGAGTGATGAAATTAAATAACAATATTTATAGAGGTTGAACAGCAAAAAGCATAATTTTTCAAAGTTGAGTGAATAAAACAATAAATTTGAAAAGTAGGATGATGGAAAAGATAATTTGATGTAACATGCAACTCATACATGGTTTGAATTGACACATTGTTAACTTCGGCGTTAATACGATAACTGGGAGTCAAGAAAATGACTTATTAGGTTCTCGTCGTGTGGCCTCTCATAGTCTTTTTTAAGTTTATTTAAGACAATGGTTTGTTGAATATACCTTTCCATGCGATTTCTTATTCATTTCCCGGATGTTTCTCTTCTTAAACCATGGTCCAACAGATAGTGGACTATTACTATTGGGTAGGGGGAAAGAAAATGGGGACAAATTAAAGAATATACATATTGGAAGAACAAGGAGAAGTAAGGGAAGCAATAAAAATTGAAATAAATTAAAACCCTTGATTATTGACATTCAAAGAAGCAAAAAAAAAAAAAACAAATAAATAAAATTATTAAAAAATCATGTATTTTTTTTTACTTTTTTTTTTTATATATATTTAAGCTTGTTAAGGATAAATCTTATGAATAAAACTAATTCAGCATTTTATCAACAAATTATACTATTATTGCTTTGCACTTAATGTTTTTACAGTGAGTTTTCATTTTTTTTTAATAGAAGGGAAAGAGAAACCAATAGTACTTCTGCTAGAAAGAAAATTAAAGTTTTCAACTATTTTTTATGCAATTTTTTTTTTCTATTTCCTTTTCTATACAAACTTCTAGTAAGTAGCCTTGTTGACCACCAAAACACTTATTTAACGTCAACACAATAAATAATATTGTAGTACAATTTTATTTGGACAATAATCCATAGATTTCTTTTTCACATACATTTCCCTTCAATTCAGATAGAATTGAAGCAGGATTAGGTGAGGAATTGAAGGTTCGCGCCATACATATAACATATATTAATTCATCACATGCCATGCAGTGATTACAAACTATGCCTTTCAAATGCATAACTTTTTCTGTTTGTTTTTTTCTAACAATGAGGAAATTCTCTTTCCATTGACCATAAGTTTTTATTTCTCAAAAGACACCTTCAATCTACCAGTTTCAAATTGCAAGTTGAATCAGTATTAATTATTATATATATATATACCCCTTGACTATAACCTGATCAGATGCCTTTTTATTATTTAAATCATCAATCTATTAAGGTCAAGCAAAATTTTATTCATCTAGTTAAATTTACCTTCATCTTTAGCACTGATGAATTGGTCTTATTATTTGAGTAGTTAAACCAAAATATTGCAGTCATTAACAATATTCAAATTACAACGTGATAAATTGATAATATATATATGCTTAATTATCCGATAAGAGACTTGGTTTTAATACTGTTTTCCCTTTTTGTCAACTTCAAGTACAATGTTGAAGAAGAAAATTGTTGCATATTTATTTAATAAGTCAATCCACTTATTAATAAACTACATAGCTAGGGCAGTGCAACATGTC